CAAACAATGGTTTACAGGTATTCTTAAAAACAATGGTTTACAGGTTTATTGCAAACAATGGTTTACAGGGTTTCTCACAAACAATGGTTTACAGGTTTTCTACATGTTATTGTTCTTTTTTTATTTGTTGAGTGTATATATATATATTTAGTAGCTATAGACAAACAACTATCTGTGTTAGGTTGTTGAAGGTTGTTGACAACACCAGGGCTTGTATTAAATGTCTCTATCTCATTAACAATGGATGACCCTGCAGGTGGGATACTTACTTTATTTCGCTGCTGATGTGGAGGAGACAAAGAAAACAGCATTGATTTTTCTATTTTTGCAGTAAAACTTGTCTATAAAACATTGTTATTGTGTGTTATTCCACGAGGTACAAAGCTGGTCTAAAATGTACCTGACTCGCCAGTATACCAGTGTGATCAGATTTTCACTAAATGGCAAAATCTTGCTTCGCCTTGTCCTCTATGATAAACTGTACCAATAATTGTATATTGAAGAAATTCTTGAGGTAAGATTGATGTAGTTGATTAAATGGCTAGATATCCCTGACAGTATAGACACTTAGAGGAGGCACGGTAGTCTAGTGGTAGGACACCGGGCTTGTCACGGAAGGGTTGCAGGCACAGCACTGTGTTGTATCTTTGAGCAAGATACTTTACTCCGCTTGTTTCAGTCTACTCAGCTGTAAATGAGTACGTGGTTGGGCAGTGCTGGAATTGTTGAATGCTAGCTGTGAGCGCCGAAATGGCAGCACCGGCTGTATGCTCCCAAGGGAGTTGAGAAAGATATTGGATGGTTGCAAAGGCCCTATGAAAAAATAACATTGAAATTCTCCAGCTTTGAGACGAACAACGAATCAGGTTGTGATAAAGCGGTATATAAGAACCTCGTATTAACATTATCATTATTACATGATTCCACCCATACAGGTTTTGTCTCACTGACAGAGGTCAGTGCTGGTCTGTCTGCCTGGCTCAGTCACCCTATACACTTATATGTACACAAAAGAAATTAAGGGGAGGTTACTGTATATATAGAAAAAATAACATTGAAATTCTCCAGTTTTGTATGCAGCGGAACAGGGACCCTTAAAGCTGCTGTATCACATGAAATGTTCGTTGTGTATAAACATTCATGGTTTCCATGGTTGCTATTTAACCATGAAAATAAATACGACGAATTTGAATGATGCACGTGTCTACTGTTTATTAATATAGGATATCCACGAAAGTTTGTACCACGAAACAATCTAAAAGGCTTCAAACTATGAAGGAAGTATATACACGAACGTTTCGTGTGATACAGTATTATGAATATTTTACATGCTTAGGTGAAACCAATCGCAATTTTAAACTAGACTGATGAGAATGGCCAGCTGAATAAATTGATGCTATGGGAGATATTTATGGATTGGTAACAGTACTACTGCAGTTTAAGTGCAGCGTAATTAATAAATCATTATCACTTTCTAACGACGAGGTAATGTATAGCCATATAGGCCTATGATCTGTATCGATCAATAACACAATATAGTTTATACATCACAACTAGGTATGAATGTTTAACAAAAGCACAAAGAGTTTTTAAAAGTTTCGGTAACAGGTAATACCTACATGTAATTTTCTAGTTTACTGTTACATTCATGAACTACGTCGACGTCTCAGGTATGGTGTTTCCTACGTTTAGTAGATGTGTGTTTAGAAAATATTGAAATGCATCACATGGAGGAGTGACTGTCGTAACCCTTTTACTAATGTAAACCATAATGGACTCATCCAGATCAATGCATGGTAGAGTCTACTGAAGTTACATAGGGGTGAAAGGCACCAATGTAAACCATAATGGTCTCATCCAGATCAATGCATGGTAGAGTCTACTGAAGTTACATAGGGGTATAAGGGTTAACCCTTTTACCAATGTAAACCATAATGGACTCATCCAGATCAATGCATGGTAGAGTCTACTGAAGTTACATAGGGGTATAAGGGTTAACCCTTTCACCAATGTAAACCATAATGGGCTCATCCAGATCAATGCATGGTAGAGTCTACTAAAGTTACATAGGGGTATAAGGGTTAACCCTTTTACCAATGTAAACCATAATGATTTTACATACAGATGAAAGGGTAAAAAACAGTGGGAAAAAAAATAATTCCAAAACCATAATATTTGTTATAGGGCTTGATCATGACATGAAGTTTTGCTTTCTAATTCATAATTTAGATTCAACAACTTTTAAAAGATTTATCTTTCAGTTTTTTTCCTGAACAATTTTAAATTATCCTGATCGAGATACCCAATATTAATTTTTGTCCGATTTTCTCGTAACTTTGTAGACTTTTTAACCTACAGTTGTGTTTCACTTTTGGAATAATTATAAATCAATAAAACGGAATAGGATCTTTTTTTTTACCCACATTTTAATCTTGTTCGGAGAAGTTTTTCAAAACTAATGCAATACATTAGATGGATAGCAATAATTCCTGTTAGTTTAGAAGTGCACCAAAGTAGCTTAAATGTAATTGCTGGCTTAAGGCAAGTCGGAAACTGTTGAATTGTTATAGGCATGTTTTACTTCTGTGTGAACAGAACAATATGTTAAACAGCACCACATATAGATAATATAAAGTTGATATATTGTGTGTATGCCTTAGGCCTGTTTCATAAATATATTAAGTTTAAAAGGTCATGGGTCTCGTCAGTTTAGTTTCATTTCACATTCAGTGGATTCACCTTAGATTGTCACATTTTGGTTATATATTATGTCTTTTTTTTCTGGAACTCCATTTTCCCTCCTTGTAATAGATGTACATAATTAAGTTGGTTTATGGTAATTATTATAAAGAGTCCCGTCAAGTTTGAACATATCTATAACCACTGTCCCTGTTATGAAATATCATTTGAACTTCTTTTCTACAGAAGCTGTTCATGAAAATTGCATCTCATGATGCATTTTATGGATTCACAGGAATCAGAATTTGTTTATTTGAAAACAAACGTAAACACGAGAAAAAAAAGAACAAAATGATATGGATCAAACTTGGCTCCTATAGACCGTATACTACACTTTACCAGTGTTGCTAAATTTAGGATTTATGAATTCAAACCATGAAATATTGGACAAATACATTGACAAGGGAAGTCACTCTAAGGTAGAAAAGCTGTTTTTTTGTTGCTTCATCTTCTATATCAACAAAAAAACTCAAATGTAGAATCATAAATCCTTTTAATGTCATTTTCTAAAATAACAAATTGCCCAGCTTATCATGTATACAGACATTAAAAGGTATACAAAAAAGGGTCAATTTTCTTACGTTGGCTGGATATAAAACAGTTTTTGAGATGATTCCATTGACCCAGCCAGAAGTTATGGGATAAGTGAGATTAATGTGTTGTATCTAAAATTAGATTTCTTTAAAAGAAATACAATTGTAGCAGTACAAATGTTCATTTTAGCTACATATCAAGATAGATTAATTTTATTTTCACTTACTTTCACTTAAAAATGAATTGTTCTGTTGAATATCATAATTAGATGCATATCACATTTTTATGAAATAAATGATTATGACACAGGAGAATTTTATTGTACTGAAGTAATATACCTGGTAGTTCACAGGTGTCAACCTCTGAAACCTCCAGTAAGGGAAATCTCCCTCATCGCTCATTTCCAATGAGGGAGAAAGTATGTGAAACACGACTGAAACTGCTTTGCTCAATTTATCCCATTTGATGTCTTAAATTAACTCCAAAAGTATTCATTTGATTCAGACACACCTGTTATGATCATTACACACACCCTGCAGTAACCAGGAGATCATTTGACCTCAGGATGTAGGTTTTGAGTTTGTGAGTTTGGAGTTGAGCGATCGAGGGAGTTTCAAGGGAGATCGGTAAATTTTTGTTTTGAAATGTTTTGGTCAAAAGGAGGGATCGAGTCTCTCCCTTCTACATGTAAATGAGGGAGTGTTGACAGCTATTTGGTACTGTATTACAAAATTAAGTGAGAACTGTACTACATTTCAAATTAACAGTTATCCACGTATGATTTGCCACTGTCATTATTAATATTGTGATCATGAGCTAATGGCTACAAGCATTACAGTGTTTTCCAGTGCTTGCAAACATTCCAGATGTCCGTGCCACATGGAACAGACTTAAATGACATGATAATAGATATGTGTTAATTATACACATAATTTCTGCCTTAAGCTGTATTTACGTCAGTGAACATCATTGATTTGATGAAGATTGCAAAACGGAATTTTTGATACAGTAACATATATATACATGTATATGTTGTGTTTGATTATATTATCACTTACTTCTATGTAGCAGTAATTTGTTACGTTATGAAGGGATTTTAGGCACCTTTCCCCTTTCACTGTACTCTACTACATTGTACATACATTTTAGAATACCTAAAACGTGGATTTTTCATTCTTTTGACTTCCAATCACACTGATTAGGCCTATAAATGAATGAAATGGCGACGATGCAGTAAAAAGCTCAATTTGTTTGACTCTCTGCGCATGCATCGTATACGAACAAAATTTTCAAATTGGTGTGCCAGCTGTTCTTCATATTTCTAGAGATTACTGCGATTTAACATACAGGAATACTGTGTCTTTGTTTTTGAAACAAAGAACTCTCCATTTGTAGGAAGTAACAGTTTTGTCTACATCATGTAAGTAATTTTATAATGGAAGGAATTTGTTCAAGTATGAATTCCTTTTTCAAGCTCAATGTTCAATGGATTTTTTTCCATAGATGTTTCTTATGTTTCGGCCTCCAACCAAATCAGATCAATACTACACACAAATCGCAAGTGTGTTGTTTTATCCTGACGCCAATTTATTGATGTTTTTACCTGTATAACGATAGATGTTAATTGTATGATTCCATGCTTGAAATACCTGTGGGAAATTTTATAGCGAGCTCTCATATCTGGTGTTGATGATGAATTATTGAAATTATTTTCCACGTCAGACTTTTAAATGGACATTACGTACGCGGCCTGTGATATGAACATAGATTTGTTGTACAGTGAACAATAGATCTCTTGGACCAGACCACAATGACGTGTGGTGGTTCTAACAAGTTTGTGTGGAGTTGAAATGGTTAAAAGACCCCGGACCCTCCATCAACATATGTCCGACGTGGATAGATTGATACTGTGTTTATCAGTCTTTGATGAGAGAATTCGACGCTAGTTATCTTTTGATACAAGGCTATTTGACTGATCCACCCTGTTTATAAGAGGACAGTATATATATGCAGTGCTGACCACCTGTATGTACCTGTAGTGATTCATGGAGGAAATATAAACTTATGTTTCACACACCATTAGTTCTTGAAAAGTCACATAAGGATTGAAACATTGTAGAAACAACTGGGATAAATTGGTGATGAGTCGACAGTGTTTTAGAACAAATTTTAATGTGTTTTGATGTTCCCTGTCTATCGGGTGGCCAGGCTCCAGTGCCCCCGACTTAACATCAACACTTTGATGATAAACATGCAACAACAGCTGGAGGGAAACGTGTTGCCAAGTTACACTTGATGATGATTATTTTTAACTGAGTAATTTGTCTGCTTACCTGTGTTTGTGTAATGGTTGATGGTATCTAAATGGGAATAATGTTTATCACATCAGGAAGCCGACTACAGGTATATATATAGAGATGTGATCGGGGTTGGGATCTAACTTTACCAGGAGGTGAACTATGATGTGATCGGCGTTGGGATGGAGAAGAATTTGTGTCCGATATCCAACTTTCATACGGAGGTGGACTAGGATGTGATCTAGTGGTTAAAGAATTGGGATGTTTCGATGTTCGTGTGTATGAAATCTATTTTGGACCAGTTGGTGCCTCAGGAAACTCTATAAAGGACAATAACATTAGACAGAACTGTAAACGTCACTGAGTATAAACACCAGTCTTATTTCATAGACAGTCTCCTGGGTACCAGTCCAACAATTGGGTCATAATGCCTTTATAAAAGCTGTATCATTAATGTCTGTTTAAATATCATCAGATATATGAACATTTAATCAAATTGTTTGATAAATCTCGAAATTTAAACCCAAACTGTAAATTCTGAAGTTCAAGCCAAAATCATGAAATATTGCATGTATAAATACATGACATACATTTGGTTTGAGTAAGTTTGTGGTTACATAATTATATCTCCCAAAAGTGAAAACAATGGGTGTTGTATTTGGACATTATGATGATCAGACTATTCAAGAACAATGGATTATGTCTTTTTCTTTGTGGCGATATTTTCTACTTCATAAGTAATTCCCCAAGTACTTAAAATCGGTCGGAGATTTAAATATTGAACTAATGTATTTCACGTGACTATATACAATGTATTTTCTTTAACGTTGGGAAGAACAAGGTGAAAAAGAAGACATTTTGCCTTTTGTGACTGGACATTTTATGTGTATAAGACTTTAAATTTATGCATACGACCATACAGACATATACTCGTGTTCATAGATAAATAAATCATTATAGCTTTCTCTCCTGAATAGGGCAGAAATGGTGAATTAATTGATCTCTACTTTGATGTCCTAGACATTTGGGATTTGAACTGGAATATAATTACAAGGAGTCTTCGGGCAATCAAATCAACAGTGTTTAATTTGGAGTCTTATCACAGGTTGTTATAGCGGTACTATAATTACAGAGAATGATGTTGCTGGAGAATTACCGTTCTACAGTACTGGAAACGACAACGGAATGATTATATAATAGGTTTGGTTTCCAATAGGAAAGGGATGAGATTTCAGATCATGACGACAGACGCTATGATCCGGATTATACACATGGACAGGAGATTAATCCTCCCGATTATAAAAGATGAATTAACAACCATAACTGCAGTGTAATCAGTGACTTTCCTGACGATGCGTTGATTCTCCGGACATTCCTGCAGATCTAGACAGTGCCTCTATTTTACAGAAATGTTGTGTCTTAAGAACATAGTGCCCTGTTACACCCCGGGTAAACACTGTCGGTAAGACTTTTATACTCGTATCTATACTAATAGAATCACACTCAAGGCAGTTTGTATAGATGTTCAATATCTGCAAAGCCCCTCACTCTTTTCTTCTTTAAAACCCCGACAAGTTGTCTCTTTCATGTTGAAGACTATTGAATTTGAATTTCTATCAGTATTTTAAATACAAGATCTTGTAAGTTAAATAAATTGTATGTTGATAGACGTAATAGATTGTATTATAATAGCCGTAGTCAGTATGTATTTATAGCCACATGTCGACATAATGGTGTCATATTCTCAAATAATTGTGTCTGGCGATTGAATCATAATGAAACCATTTTCGCATGTGAAACTTACAATGGCTGTAAATTGTAAGCCTTTTTGTGGCACCGAAGTAATATATGTGTGTCAAAGTTAATGTTCTGGCCGGGGTACCTGAAATTATTTTAGTTATGGGATATTTTAGTTTTGCATTCATCAAAATGTCACTGGGTAGATCTACCCAATATTCAATTTTTTATGCACTTAATTTTGGGTACCTAGAACTTAAATATAATTGCATACCAAAGATTTCATGAATATACTGATCCTGCAATCATACCGCAAGTACAATAAAAAATGTCAGATTCATGTTTTAGAAAAAACGTAGAATTATGTTGCAATGCTTAACTACTGTGATAAGCCCAGTTGGGAAGGGTTTTAGACTTATTCGGTGAATTTTGTGTTACCTTTCATGCAGTTAAGGGTGTATGCTACTTTACCCATTATACCTAGGATTTTGGCCCTAATTGTCAAAACCTATCAATGGATGGTTATAAAAAAATATTACATAAAGAAATTGTAGTTTGTAAGTATTTGTTTGATTTGGCCCCAAACAACATGCTTCAAACACTACAAATATCCTTCAGGAATGCTTTGTCACAGAAACTATAGTATTTAAACATCGATGTTCAGTTTTGATGTTGTTTGTGTAGCTAAATTTAAAACAGAACTCAACTGTGCTTTTTTTAGGTCACCTGAGCTTTGCTCAAGTGACCTATTCCAATCGCTTTTCGTCCGTCGTCGTCCGTCGTCCGTCGTGCGTCGTGCGTAAACTTTTACATTTTCAACTTCTTCTCAAGAACCAGTGGATGGATTTTTTTCAAACTTGGTCAGAATCATCCTTGGTAGATGAGGCTTCAAAATTGTAAAATTGGGATTCCTACCCCAACCCCTGGGGCCAGGGCGGGGCCCCAAAGGGAAAATTAATCAATATTTCAAAAATCTTCTTCTCCAGACTCAGAGGTACTACAGTGATTTTCTTTACGTGGAAAGAAAGATCATCAGGGGCTTTATTTAAATTGAAAATATCAGGACCCCGAGCTATCCGTTCTCCCTTGGGGAGGGGTTAACGTTTAATATAGTTTATATAGGGAAATAACACTTTTCGGTATATATTTTATCCATTTTCAGCAGAAAATTGCTCAAACTTAGTCAGAATCATCTTGGGTAAATGAGAGTTTTACTTTGTAAAATTAGGATTCCTGCCCCATCCCCAGGGGCTAGGGCGGGGCCCCAAAGGGAACATTTACCAATATTTTCAAATTCTTATCCATTGATGACATGACAAGTATTGTATTTCACTTAGTTTACATGCTGATTTCCACATCACATCTAAACAATAAAATAAAGCTACCAGTACCTATGATATAACTCAGGTGACCGCTAAGGCCCTTGGGCCTCTTGTTTTTTGTTTTTTTTTGTACAGGTTACAGGATTCTTCTAGTTTGGGTTTTAATAATCAAATTAAAATTTCATTGAAATATATATTTAAGTTGAGTGATACATAAATTAAATCAAAATGTTAATTAGTCCACAATTATTATTTTTCATAAATTCTATAAAAAAAAAATATGACATTAAAACAGAATATTACATAAAACCTAACCTGGGAGGTATAACCAGAAAATGAAATGTGGTACGAAATATGAAAATGATGAATTACAGAAAAAAAATCATATTACAATTTCTTCCTTGTTTTGATTTGCAGGGAACGTCGGGAAAAGTTAAACTTACAGGATTACACATTTGATGGTCACAAGGATGCCACGCTCGGCCGGACACCGGGACAGGTGAATGGACAAATGTTCGTCATACAGAATTGTGAGGTGAGTTACGTACGGCTCAACCGTGCATTTACGGGGATGAGTCCATTATGGTCTACGGTGGTGAAAGGATAAACCACTGTTGAAGAAGCTTACTTTAAACAAGATTAGATTTTAAAAAGTTATGAAACCTCTCAGTCAGATTGTCTTTCTTTAAGCTTCAAACAAGATTAAATTTTAAAAAGTTATGAAACCTGTCAGTCAGATTGTCTTTCTTGTCCAAAACTCTTGAAAACTGGCTACCAAGCAGCTTGAAAAACACTTTGTTGACAACTTTCTCCAAGACATTTACAGCAATTTGTTTACCATGCTGAGTTTGCACCATGAAACTGCTGAGGCCATTAACATCTCCAGTGCTAATCTGGATCTCTCTGCTTCATTGATGTCATCAATCATGACATGTTGTTCAAGCTTCAAGTTTGGTCCTTTTTGATGCACATCATAATGATCTCGTGGTCGCGTAACGGTAAAAATTGACTGGCTTTGAAATCGGGTATCGCTCCTCTGTAATCTTCAAAGGGCAGGTATCAGCCTAGTGATTGGTCAGGCTTTTTCACCTGAGACCAATCAAACAGCTTTCTTTGTGCCTTCAATTTTACTATGACATATCCCAGAGGTGCTGAGAGCGTAAATGAGCATAACACCTGGAGTATCGAGGATGGTGTGATATCGGCCAGCCATTCGGAGTAAAAGACAACATTGTTGTAACTCTTGAGTTTGACATTCCTCAAGAATCTGTGATGGGACAAAGAAAGGCCTTGCCCATCATTGCAATGTCGTTTCTACCTTTATTTCACAGCAACCTTTAATAATATGGAAAATGTAGCATTTTGAGGGGAAATTGGAAAGATATTCCTAATTTGTTCTCCATTTTTGGAAAGAAAAGCACTTTTTTTGCCAGAACTAGCAGCCTGTTTTCGGCTGTAAAACTAGGCAAAAAACAGCTTAAACATTTTTTATTATTGTTTTGTCAAAAATAAATCATACTTTTGAGGGAATTTAAGATTATGGGATATTTTATCTCCTCCTTGAAATTTTTGTGTGTGCTCAGCAAATATGCACTACTGATAAAATCATCCATACCAGTTTCTGAATTTTTCTATGAACATTACTACAATGTTATAAAAAAAATCTTCATAATGTAAATAAAACTACTTTTCATTTGACAGCTTATCTGGTGATGCACACTGCTAACTCTCCCTATTTAGGAGGGACACTCCCAATTTTGGACCCTTAAATTTGATGTTTCCAACCAGTGAAATTGCTAAACTACATGTATTCCTGTTTTCTAAGACCTAATTACTTTATCTGAAAAGACAAATTAAAAATATAGCATTTAAAAGGGTTATTTTGTGTCTAAGGGGTATATATATACACTCACTTTATTTATGATTTTTATTTTAAAATTTCAAAGGGAATTGGCACGTATGCACTGATGAATTTAAGTGTAACAAAAAATTAAGGTTAGGAAACATCCCATGTTTTTATAATACATTCCAGCACTAATGAATCGTCACATCCTGTTTTGAGAAATAGAAATATTATTCATTAAAATGTAAATTTTATTTTATCATTTCTTTCAGAACTGCAATATTTACATATACGACAACTTATCGACAGTAACGATAGACGACTGCGTAAACTGCACTATATTTATGGGACCCATTGCAGAAAGGTATGTTCATGTCATTTGGCTTAAATACCTGTTTGCTAGAAGCCTTAATTTGCCCCAGATATTGGTTTTATACCCTGTAATTTTTTATGTAACCTACCCCAGATATTGGCTCTATACCCTGTTAGTTATACCCCCCACAACGAAGTTAGAGGGGCCCATACTGGATTCAGCTTGTCTGTCTGTCTCTCCGTCCATCCGTTCCTCCGTCTCTGTCTGTCAAGAAGTTTGTTTCTCTGTCCGTCAAGAAGTTTGTCCGGACAACTCTTTCTAAAGCAATGGACCACTTTCAACGAAACTTTCCAGATATGATAACCACCACCTGAAATTGTGCATCCAGGTATTATTTTTTCATTCTGACCCTTTTTTACAAAGTTATTGCCCTTTGTCGAAAACTTCTTGCCCGCACAACTCCTCCAAGACTATGCGGCCGATTTCAATGGAAGTTTTCAGATATGATAACTACCCCCTGATGTTATGCATTCAGGTATTTTTTTTCAACCCTTTTTTATGGAGTTATGGCCCTTTGTTGATCCTTGTCCTGACAACTTCTCCTTATCTACTGGGCCAATTTCAAAGACAGTTTACAGATATGGTGACTGCCCCCTGACGTTGTGCATCCAAGTAGTACTTTTCATTCCGAACCTTTTAAAAGGAGTAATGACCCTTTGTTGAAAAAACCTTTGTCTGCCTCCGAAACTACTGGGCCGATTTCAATGCAAGTTTACAGATTTGGTGATTTGAGGGACCCACATGTAAATTGCAAAAAAAATATTTAATTAGATAAAAGGATTTCACTGAAATAAAGTATGGAGAAAATTTCTGTTTTTATTTTACTAGTCCGAGCCCGAGTTAATGGTCTCCAGGTTACATAACAAGCTGTTTTATTGTCAGAGATACCAGAGAGTGTATTGATTTCAATGATGATGTCAGTTAGCCCTGTATTTACCTGCTGGCTGTGCAGCTCGTTTAACATATGGTGTTTAATAAATAATGATGTCAGTAAAAAGAGTGATAAAGCTTAGGTCTGAATTTTTTATAAGGCCTCTTCTGAACTTCGAAACCAGTGGTGTTTTTTTTTTTCTTTTTTCACTCATTAAAAGCTAAAATATCACTTGGCAATTCTGGAACTATGCAAAAAGGTTACCATTCAAAATACATGTTTAAAAGTAATTTTTAGGCTCACTCTCTTTATCAATATATATATATATACAGTGTAATTAAAAAAACCATGAACAATACAATTCGCTAGTGCTGTAGCCCATCTTGGGGCTCTTCAGGCAATTTTCCAAGATGAGCATAAGCACTAGCAAATTGTATTCTTCATGTTTTTTTTATATATATTTTTACCGTCACATGGACAGTTAACTGCCATGTTTACACAAGGCTGTTAGATATCATTACACCATTTTAAAGATACACAGAATTATTGGGAACCTGCTTTTAATGAAATACATTTTATCACAAAGAGAATAAATTTTGTTTTCAAGTTATTGGAAAAATTGGCAATCCAGATGAAACCATTAAAGATCACTAATGAAAAGTGTTTTGAAAAAAAATATTATGTCAGGGAGCTTTCTAAATGATGAAAATGGAAATTGGTATAAATAATGGAGAAAAAAAATTATATGGTTCAAATTTTTAATGATAAATATGTTTATTGCAAAAGATACCAATATTTTCACACTAATGAAAATGAAGATTTCCTGCCGTACACATTAAACAATATCATATATCATGGTATTCATAAAAAAAAAAATCCACTATATTACATAGCACAACTTGACAAGATACAAAAGTGAATCCATGAGACAATTAACTTATTCACCCCTGAAGACACATTTGAACTCTTCCAAATCAAAGGTTGGAATAGTTCATTATGAAACTTCAGAGGTGAATGAGTGAAATAGACATTACCAATAACTTTGTATGACTGGTATTATGATTAAACAATGTTACTCCAAGTCCTTTGAAGGTTTAAATATTCTATTTCCTGCTGATGTTGTGAAATCTCTCCAGGAGAAATTCATTTCCTACATAATCTGTCTGTCCTGTGAGATCTGATCAGCTGTAGGATGTTGTTGCCAAGGATTTATAGGATTTGTGTGTTTCTGTCTGGCCCGTGTAGAACTGAAGTGTGTAATCATCGTTTACATTGTTTTTTCATCACCAGGTATCCGTATCTTATCAGGGGATACGAACCACTAATCAATAGAATTTAATAAAGATTTTTTATTGTTATCATATTGGATAATTTCTCATAAAGACACAAGTCCTAATAAACCCCTGTGCATACCTGTATGATAGATTGCAGACATAAATTATTGATAATTTCCTCCGATTGAATTTCCCCCATGATTCAGATCTAATGCATCCTTTCCAATTAGAGCTTGATATTTCTTTCATTTGATGTGCAGTTTCTGTCTCATAAAGATGTGTGGGGCCGAGGTGGCCAACTGGTTGAGGCGTCTGACACTCTGCTACTATAAGCCCTCTACCACTTAGTCGCAGGTTTGAGACCTACGTGGGGCAGTCACCAGGTACTGGCCGTAGGTCAGTGGTTATTCTTCGGGAACTCCGGCTTTCTTCCACCACCAAAACCTGGCACGTCCATAAATAACCATAGCTGTTAATAGGACGTAAACACAAACAAACCAAATTATTCCTAATAAACCCCTGTGTATACCTTTATGATAGATTACAGACATAAGTTATTGATAATTTCCTCCGATTGAAATTCCCCCATGATTCAGATCTAATACAACCTTTCCATTAGTGCTTGATATTACTTTCATTTAATGTGCAGTTTCTGTCTCATAAAGTTAACGACATGATGCTCTTATTTCGTGTGATGTTTTAAAAATCTAAGGCACCAGACACTTTATTTTAAGAATAAAAGCATTTAATAAACAACAGTTTTAGTACGTCTAGCCTTAACATGAGGCTTGTGTCCATTTCACATTAAGGTAAGAGAGTTCTAGAGCTGCGTTTTATATCTAACAAAAAAGTATCCTTATTAAGGTGGCTCGACACATCGTCATCAGCGTCCATTTTCGTGACATACTTCCGGAAAAAGTACAGCTAGGACTCAATTATCTTAATCGAAATGTGCATGTACACCGTGTCGTCATTTCCGTATTGCGTATCGGGCATTCAATATCGTAGTGCAAATTATAGTAACACTTGCTGGGCCGTTTTCGTTTAAACGGTCAAACCGATCGGACCACTGTTGTTCGTTTATTAAATAAGGTCGGACCTAGTAATCTGATGCTGCTTTCAGGCGAGTCTTGAGAAAGCCTTGCAAGGCCTGCATACACATTTGCAGGTCCGCCAGGATTTACACCCGAAATTGTTACATTTATAAACGGTCAAACCGGTTGTTCTGCATAAACGAACAGGTCCATGGTAAACAATAGTACACGTGCGTGTCGATGATATGTCAACACCCGATATCAAGATTTTACCGGGAAATGAATACTCACACGTACTTCAGGAATAAAGCTTTCCAATTCATAGACATAAACAGACTCACGGGAAGACAGTGACATGAGACCAGACGACCTCAAGAAGGTCATATAGGAAACACATGGAATGCAGACGTACCAACCTCACATGTGCATATCGCGTGTTTACACGAGTTCATAAGCTCGAGGTCGTTACGATTTTCGCTGTTGAGGGAGTTCCGCTCTGTCGATTAAATCGTGTTTACAAATGTAGTCTACTAGCTTACTCTGTGAAAATAATGTTTTGTAAAATATCAAGATACCTATGAAATGCATGTGTGAGTGCACGTGAGAACGGTATACCATGCGATAGCCTCTGGTCTGACATGTAATTATAGATATACCGTGAGTTAGCGGACTGTGGAATGATGTCCAAAGAGTACATGACTGAGGGTAATTTGGTTCCATTAAAGAACAATAAATTGATAATTTTGATATCATATTTTTGATTTATTTCCATCATTTTTGTTATATGTAAACAGAGACAACTGTCATTGTGTAAATGTCACCCCTCTGCAAAAAGTTCCGATTTTTTTCAAGGAAGATAACTCTCACCCGGATCAAAGTGATTGTAAAAATGTAAGATAAATTAATTATAAAGCCATTGTGTATATTTTGTTCAATTTCCCACTCTATATGTATAGAACTTTGTGTCCTGGGTGCTTTTAGCTTGTAGATAATCACTTTTATCCGTACAAATTCAATAAAAAACACTTTGTGTAACATGTGTTACATATTTTGCGATAAATAAAATATTTGTAGGGTTAATTAGAAATGCTTCTTTTCATTTTATTATTGTTGTTATTGTTCTGAACAATGCCACACACAAAAAAACCCGGAAAATATTAGAATTGACGAAAATTCAATTTTTTGGTATTTTTTCCAAAAAATTCCCCAAACTATCGGAATGTTTAGATTTTCATAAAATCAACTCGACATAGTTGCATAACAATTATATGAAAGTTTCAACAAATTTTGCTGGTTAATTGCAAAAGTGTGGAGCCACCTTAACTCATTCACCCCCTGAAGACACATTTAAACTCATCCAATTCAATGGTTGGAATAGTTCATTATGAAATTATAGGGGTGAATTAGACATATTTCAACCAAATTGCTTTGCCTGTGGAGATCAAACATTATACAGACAAAAGGAATATTGGAAACTTGTACTTTCAGTGTATTCATAATACACCTTTATTGTATATCTCTTTATTTTCAGTGTTTTTATACGAGACTGTAAGAATCTGAAGCTTGGAATTGTGTGCCAGCAGTTTCGTACACGAGACTGCAGTAAGATTGAGACGTTCCTGTTCTGTACCTCCCAACCAATCATTGAAGACTCGTCAGGAATGAAGTTCGGCTGTTTTACATACTTCTATCCGGAACTTGAGGGTAAGTATAAATGTGTAGCAATACAAAAACATCAAAATAGCAAGATCTTACATAGGAGACTAATGTAGCGGAACCGGACTGGGTCGATCGTCGGTGACCAGATAGCTCAATTGGTAGAGCGTTCGTCTAGAATTTGGAAGGTCCGTGGTTTAAACCCCGGTCTGGCCGTTGCATTTCTCTTTTTTCCTGTTACAAATTTGGCGCCCAACAAAATATACCCACGGAAGCTTAAGGTGGTATAGGGTCTCATGTGTCTTCGGGGTCGAAGACTTTGTTAAATTTGAAGGTGGGAGGAGTGTAGCTGAACTTGACTGGGTCGATTGGCGGCGACCAGATAGCTCAACTGGCATTTCTAGTTCAGAGGGTCCCAGTTTCGAACCCCAGTCTGACTGTTGCATTTCGCTTTCACCTGTTACACTATTAAGGATATCGGAGAGAACTGTTAGAAAATATAAAGCAAGATTTTTCAGCGAAATTTGACAAAACTTTTGTGACTGACTGTATTTTCAGATCAGTTTAAGGCTGCGGGGATGAGTTTATTCAACAACAACTGGAGTAAGATCCATGACTTCTCACAAGATCCCAGTGAAAACCATTACAGTTATATCCCAGAGGTAAGAAGGTCAACACCATTTTATATTTGAATGTCCATTTTATTATAACTTACGAGTATGATTATAGTCAGAAGTGGTCGGGTGGTACAGTGGATAGCGGACTTACCTTCCCCAAGACTGCCGGTGTTTGACTCATCCCCATCATGCGTGAAAAGGTATTTGGTCACCTGCCGATGACTATGTGGGTTAATTTTCTATGGGTTGTCTCTGGTTTCCTTCCACATTAAGAACCCTTTGCATTGTCACCCGGGCCAACAAGAGTGATTTTTATATTAAGTTGATTCAACCTGTTTCGTAATTATTGTGAAATTGATAAAAGTTTATATTTGTATTCAATAAGTACAAACCTTTTCACATATTGCCATGATCACTATAACCTAAACACTCTGATAAATGGATATGAAATATGAAGCACTGATATCAACATATCCAGTTTACAAAATATATCTAATTATATTCTTCAAACTAATAGATTTTATATAAAATCTCACTGGCAATTACTAATGGTAAGTGAAAGTCATAAATATAGTGTCACTTTGCAGATAGATATCAGTATACTGATGTATATCTTTTTTTCAATAAGGCCAAGCATAAGATTAAGTGTGTGTGCTGTAAAATGTTTGAAAAGTATAGGAAAGGAAGATAAAAAACAAAATTTATTTTCAAAAATTGATTGATTGATTGATTGGTCTTAAATCCGCTTCACTACCATGTTTTTTGGTTATCCAGCAGACGAGTTTCAAAAAATCATTTTATGTGGTTTAAATAGGAGAGTGATCTTGACTTGGGGTAGGAAGAGTAATTCCGTCTTTGCATATTGCAGAGTTATCTTCTCTTGAGAGCAGGTATTGATTGTTACGTCATTGGTTTATGTGAGAAAATTACGTCGTTTTCTCAAAAATTGATGACGTTACTCTCACAAACAAATGACGTAACAATCAATACCTGCTCTCAAGAGAAGATAACTCTGCAATACGCGAAAACGGAATACCAGAAATTCAGATATTTATTTTTGTTTGGCCTTATTAAGCAACACCCCCCCACCCCCCCCACCCCCCCTGTGAATACATATCGAAATCTTAACTATAACACAAAATGATATTGTTTTTGATAACCTAACCAGTATATCCAGTGAGCGGATGATAGATGTGTTTATACAAGATGGCTACTGTATATCACTATATGGCTTGTTCCCAAGGACAGGTCGTCAACAGATCTAGATATCCATGATTTATATTTAGAAATACATTTCTAAAACATGAACAATGATTGAATATTGAATAGATGAGAAATGCTATTTCATAAATTACCAGGACATAAATTGGTAAAAGTAGAAATTGGAGTTTGTCTCCACTACGCAATTTGTATTTTCTGTAGTTTTGAACAGACTTAAATAGGCTTAGACTGATGTTCAATGAAATTGAATTGAAAAGGAGACTTTACCTAGCAAAATAAATACTAATTGGCGCACAATAAACATTTTCTGTGTCGTTAACTTCACTGATTAATCATAGCTAATTAACTCATTCACCCCTGAAGACACACTTGAACTCTTCCAATTCAAAGGCTGGAATAGTTCATTATGTTTCAGGGGTGAATGAGTTAAGCAAATGTGGTTGAAACTAAAAACAGTTTTGTTGAGAAATATGACATGAATATTTGTATATTTGTATAATTTCAGGATGTTAAGATAGAAGATGTATTACCCCTCTCTCTTGCCGAGCAGTTTTCTGCCATGCAGATCGACTTTTCTGTAGGTAAAAGTGTTGTACCGAGAACACTGGGCCTACGCCGCAAAGCAGCAGATGAGGTAAGATCCAAACTTGACTGTTAACAAAATATTGTAATTTATTCCTGTATAGAAATAGGAATGTGATATATTCCCCAATGTATTTCAACTCTTTTCATGCTAAATTGCTTCATGTCAGTTTTGGTGAAATCCCAGGAGTTAATTTTAAGATAGATATCTGATCTTTAGTAAGAAATTCAGAATAAGTTACCTTTTTGACAAAAAGTAACTTATTTAATACCTGGAATTTAACTTCATATTTATATTCATGACAGTTTTTCATGGATTGATGTATCAGATGTTGGGGGAGGAAACCTCTAAATTTTATCTGATATACCAGTTACAGTATTTTTTTTATTCATTTTGACTGCTAGACATCTCAATCTGAAATATTGAAGAGAAAAAGACGAAGGCTATTCTACCAGTTATTAACACTCTATGTTACTTGTCTGGTTATATGTAATGTTTAAGTCAAAAGATAATACGAGTTTCCTAGGGCTGTTGTTGGGTCGGTGATACAGAGAAGTTGTGGGGAGGCGTTTGTAGGGCAGGTATTGAATCGAATACAGACTACAGTCAAACCTGCTCATGAGAACACCTTAAGAGTCCATCATTTGTGTGAGACTGTGTTAAGAGACCATGGCCTGTATTCATGAAACCGTTCTCATGCTCAAGCGTGGAATCTGTGCTCAAACCAACTTTCTGGTAACTCGCTTAGATCATGTCAAACGATCAAAAAGTCAAATGAAAACATTGAAAACAGTATTTGGCCTTAAGTCTCTTCAATATGTTTCCAAATCATTGACAAAATAAGATTTATTTATTGAGTTATAACCAGAACAAGAAATTAGGTTTGAGCACAAAATCCATGCTTGAGCATGAGAACGGCTTCATGAATATATGGGCCCTGTAGTCTAAACATTCTTTATCGTAGTGATTCCATTTGGAATTAAGCATGTACCACCTGCATAAATAGACCACTTCTTGGACTCTCAGAGAGTGGTCTCTTAACACAGGTTTGACTGTATTTAGTTCAGTTTTACCTGTACCAGGTGTCACTCAAGATTTTAGTGTTGAGAAATGAGACCTCTGAGTCATATAAATATCACAAAATTTACTCTCTTTGACTACTATTTGAGTAGCTAGCTATATTCATTGCCTGATTTCTATGCCAAAATGTACATTTGTATTTTTTAGTCCTGTTTGCTTGTGTTCTTCAATGACGGCAGTGCGATAGATCGTGTCCGCAAATACATGCACATCATGAGCCAAAACCAGGTAAGCATACATGCCACGTAGACACAGAAGATAAGATTTAGCAAAAAACCTATTGGTAAAACACCTTTATAAATTGAGGAACCAAAGGAATTTACAGAATTGGGATCACTGTAGACAACAGACGAGGTTAAAGGGTCGAGGTTCACACTTGACCGTTTTCGGGGAGGGGGTTATGTCTGTGTGGGACCCAAGGGCTCATACTACTATAGAGCCTAAGGGTTGGATTAAGGAGAGGAGGAGGGGAAATATTCATAAACCAAATAACGAATCAAGTGACTGCAAAATTTGAGTGCATACAAAATAGGCCAAAATGGGTTGGCTATTATATTATCTTGTTTCACAGATTTCAACTTAGACTAAAATAGCTAGAATTTTACATAGCATTCGGTATAATAGTGTTGACAGATTTAATATGAAGATCTGTGTCTCTTTTTGGTGTTGTAGCCCTCGTGTGTGTTAGTACAGACCAAAGAAATTGACATGCAGCCACAGGACGCACAGCGGGTGTTTGGTACAGACGCTTACCAGTCTCTCGTACAACAGGGTGCGTATCATACATGTACTGTAAACAAGACTTATTTTACGGAATTTGATGAGCCATAGGGCATTATAGAATCTTAACAGATTAGCGCATTGATTAATTGCCACACTCGTAATATATGCTACAGCTAGCTGGAAAAATATACACTGAAGCTTCAATAATAAGCACAATCATTTTTCTCAATATTTAGCTGTGAAAAACACCTAACATTACAATTAAAATATGTAAGGAGGCACGGTAGTCTAGTGGTAGGACGCCGGGCTCCTGAGAGAAGGGTTGTGAGTTCGAGTCACGGCACGGCACTGTGTTGTTTCCTTGAGCAAGATACTTTACTCCGCGTGGTCCAGTCTACTCAGCTGTAAATGAGTATGTGGTTGGGCAGTGCCAGAATTGTTGAATGCTAGCTGTGAACACCGAAATGGAAGCACTGGCTGTATGCTCCCCAGGGAGTTGAGAAAGATATAGGCTGGTTGCAAAGGCCCTATAACCATGGGTAATAATTTGTGAACCGCTTTGAGACGACCTACGGACTAGGCTGTGATAAAGCGGTATATAAGAACCTCAAATTATTATTATTATTATTAAGTTTACAGTAGTTTGTTGTGTCCTGACCTCTCCAAGCTTGCACTAACACATACCAATTCCTGACTTGAAAGCATGGAAAGTTAGGTGCAGGATAATTTACGCTTGTTACACAGTGATCATGCTTTCTCCTGCCCTTTACAGGTGAGTCTCTCGTTTTAGCCGGGAAAGATCAGCTTGTCACCCCCTAGGGGGAGAAAGCCTCATGCCGATTAGCACATGTTCAATTTTGAAGTCATAAAAATGCATCATTGGAAATTGTGACGTCATCAAAAGTGAATGAAGATATGCATAGCCCACATGTGTTTTTGTTTACAAACATGGCAGACTACTGTCGGTGGAGTTGTGACTGAAATAATAGGATGGGAGAAAAACAATCATCCCCTACCTTGAGGGTGTAACAGAGAAATCTCCAACCCTCGGGGCAGAGCCTCGGGTTAGACAACCAAAAAACTTCACCCCTCGGTTTGGAGATTTCTCTGTCACACCCTCAGGGCAGGGGAAGATTATATTAGTCATGTAAGTTTACCTCACATGTAAAAATGGCTTGTCACAATGTATTAGTCCCAGGGCTCGTAAAAAGTAAGTCGATGAAAAGCAGGCTTTGAGTGCAAAATGCAGGCATAACACTTAGTGAAAGTATCCATGCATGCTTACAGTATGTATTAGAATTTAGAGCAATTTAAAGAAGATAACAATACTCTCATTATAAACATCTAATTAATGTGGATTGCATTTGCGGTCAATAGGTCAAAGGTCAGTACTACAGATTGAAGAAATTTTATTTCATGCAATAATATCCAATGTCATGCTATAAATTTGATAAATTGAACTTGGTTTAAAGTGACTCTTACATGCTATAAAATTGAGGTGATGTTTAATTAGTACTTAATTTCATTGTTAGGGAGAAACATGTCTTTGTGATCCCTTAGTGCCCCCCCAATAAAACCTTACCATATATTTTGTGTTATATTTCATGGAGAACTTGTAGTAATTTACGAACCCTTGTAGTTACAATAAACAATGCGTTTGATTGGCTTGTACATAACTTGACTGGCTGTCCCTATTTTGTTTAGGCGCTGTGATTGGTCTGGAGTACAATGGCGAGGATTCTATAAACCTGTGTCAGGTAGAACTAGTCGAGTTTATGAAGGGTACCACAGGTCTTGTGTTCATCAGCCAGTCCAGGGCACTCGCAGACAAACAAATCGAGGACTTCTACAACTTTGCTGAAATGCAGATGACAATGTGATGAATTTCTTGTTGCAGTCCTTAATGAAGCTTGTCAACATCATTTCTATCTAGTTATTTAGAGTAATTAAGTTTGAATAGTACCAAACAGTTTGAAAGGATTTTTTTCTGTTCCTGAAATAGGAATAGGATTTTTTTGCAATATGAGCAGAAGAAATGTTATTGGACCAGATATTGAGATTGAATCTCATCTGTGGTGTAGAAGGAAGATGTGATCTGCTATTTGTTTTGTCTGAGTAGGCATACCTTATTTGGTCGTAAATTCCGAGTAGACATGCCTTATTTGGTCGTACATTCTGAGCAGACCTACCTTATTTGGTCATACATTCCTAGAAGACATGCCATATTTGGTTGTACATTCTGAACAGGCCTACCTTATTTGGTCGTACATTCTGATCAATCATGCTGTATTTGGTAGTCATGTCTAAATGGTTTAGTGTTGTTTACATACCTTATTTGGTATTACCAGAGCAACAGACCTACCTTATTTGGTCGTACATTCTGATCAATCATGCTGTATTTGGTAGTCATGTTTTACTGGGTTAGTGTTGTTTAAATACCTTATTTGGTATTACCAGAGCAACAGACATTCCTTATTTTGTAGTTCAGTTTTATTGGACTAGGGCGGAAGGGAAGATAACTCTAGAGCTGATTGGACGACTATGGTAGACATGCTTTATATGGTACTTCAGTCTTATTGGATGATGGTAGCAGGCAAGATCGATGCAATGGATTTGTGAAGTACGTAGGCTTGTGTTGTTTGTAGTTCAGACTGTAGGAGCGGACTGTGTATAAATGATGATAGATTTAGCTGCACACAGATCGTCTGCTGGGTAAACAAACTAGTTGGTAGCGAAGTCCACGTAAAACCACTCAAGCGTGACACAGTAACAGCGCTGGTCACAGTATAGTAATCTCTTATATAATTCCAGTACAGGTACTTTAACTCATTGTCCCCTGAAATTTCATAATGGACTCTTCCAACCATTGAACTGGAAGAGTTCAAATGTGTCTTCAGGGATGACTGAGTTAAAATACACAGATATTCGTATGCTAGATCAAAGGTTAGTGTTTTATTAGAGTTACAAATCTCAGACTCCTGGCAGGAGTAGGACAAGTAGAATAGAATTTTATTTATCAAATGAAAGATTTCCTATTTTTCACTGATATTATTTTTGTGACACTAACTGCAGAATCGCCACAGTCGTTTGATCTGTGTTTTTAAATCATGTCTTTCATTTGTTTAAATGAATTTTCAATATTTCATAAGTAACATGGTATCAAATGCCTGTTTTACGAAACAACATTTTTATAGAGTTATTTTAAAGCCTGTTAGATTAAATTTTGTATTTCTTTAATAACATTGTGTATTCAAAATCATATTTATTCATAATTTGAAAACAGTTTCTTTACATGTCTGCAAGGCATTAAGTCTTAATTTCATCAAACCCTTAAACACCCCAATCGGTTAAAATGAACAAAACTTCCTTTTTTTATATACAATTTCTATTGTATATAAAAAATATCTTGCCCTACACATTCAAATTGTCTTAATTTGATTTTTTTTTTATGTAGAGCTGTTGTGGCTTTATATAAATATAAAGCTTACAGAAGCAGGGAAAGTGATGTTTGAATACCACCTTGGCTTTAAATCATCTTAGATAAGTTTGTGTTCTAATGTAGGTGTTGTATTGTTAAAGATGTGTGCTACCTAACTTGCTGACTGTTGTGCATTATTCAAGATAAATGTTACGCATACCTTACTGTGACATGGAGACTTACAAATTTACGCTACCATACTGAAACATAAAGTACCTTACTTTAACATGGAGACCTCAGGAAGTATATATGCTACCTTAATTTAACATGGAGACTTAAGGAGGTATGCTACCTTAACTCATTAACCCCTGAAGACACATTTGAATTCCTCCAATTTATAGGTTGGAAAAGTTCATTATCAAATTTCAGGGGTGAAAAAGTTAAGGAGGTATGCTGCCTTTATTTAACATGGATACTTAAGGAGGTATCCTACCTCTTTTTAACATGGAAACTTAAGAAGATATTTTACCTCAACATGATGACTTGAGGGGGTATGCTACCTTACTTTAACATGGAGACATAAGAAAGGATACTAATGTACTTTAAAGTGGAGACAGACTTAAGGAGGTGTACTATATATCCTACTATGATGTGTACCTCCAATTTGAAAAAGTTCTGCACTATTATATATTTATATAAGTATCCTTCATAAAGAGTAATTACACATTGATGATGTAATTCAAAAGAGCTCATTAATAAATCATGTTAATTTTGAATTATAAACTCAGATGCTTAATGACTTTTTAAAAGGGAAATTAATGAGTTTATTTCATAGGCATCCAGAGTACTGTTAATTTATCCTTGGTGACAACAGAAAGTATCTGGAAGAGAAAAGACAGAAAGTTTTATTCCAAAGTGTTTTTAAGACATTGACAGATATTTATATTTTAATGACTCTGTCTTGAACCCATTAAACCCTTTTAATAAGTAATTGTTGTATAAGGGAGATAACTCTAACACAAATCAAAGGCATAATGTGTAAGGTAGCATTTAACCTTAATGTAGAATATACTTCATTTTAATTCATCATCACATCTTGAAATAAGTCACCGATTTCTCATAAAATTAATTCTATTCCAACCCACCAAAGTCAGCATGCCATTTTGTCACCATGTGATGGATACTGGTTACAAGGTATTCTAATTTGATATGAGAAGTTTTAATAATTTTCCCATTTTGTTAATGTATTTAAATGTGAACTATATTTATTAAGATTTTATTTAACAAGCAGACATGTACATTACTGCTTCTGTTGTGATTTGTCATTGACAAAGTTGTGTATTGTCAGTAAATAAGTTTGTACAGTTTGTAAGGCTGGGGGGTGGGGTACGAGATTAAATATTAATCTGAAAATATTTTTGTACTTCTTTGCATATTTGTTAAAAAGCCTCTCCGTCCATTCTATTCTTTCGAAGCCTTTCAGATCCTGTCATTCCCTCATACTCTGTCACAAGTAGGTCACTATACTGCTTATCCTGTACCTATACATATCCTATAAGTCTGTAGCTTCATCGCTCTCGGTCCACGGGTTATTTAGTTTGGATAAAAGCTTTAGTGTGAAATAACATCACTTGTGGGAGAATTACAATATTCAACTGAATCGATTATAAGTTTTATCCATTCAAGTGAGCTAATTCATACTGAAGCCAGGGCCGCGGTGGTCAAGTGGTTAAGGCATCTGACATTCTGCTACAACTAGCCCTCAACCACTGGGTCGTGGGGTCGTGGCCTGCGTGGGGCACTTGCAGGTCCTGGCCATAGGACATGGTTTTCCCTGTGTACTCCAGCTTTCCTCCGCCACAAAAACCTGGCACGTCCTTAAATGACAATAGCTGTTAATTAAGGACTAAAAACCCGAACAAAAGATCATACTGGAGCTTACAGACTTGGGAATGAAGTCCCTCAATCAACCACCACTGGTTGGATATTCTCTGTACATAAATAACACAATAGTTATAATGTGGCTCAGGTTTGCTTGTCTTAACTTAGAATTAAATGGGTAGGTTTCATTACCAAAAATATTACCCTGAGTTTCAGGAAGAGCTTAGAGCTTGTTTTTACAATGATCCTCATACCTGTGTAAATTACTTATTAGGGAACAAGTAGGTTGCTTTAGACATGTATAAGTTTATCACTTCAGTATGTGTGAATGTCCATAAGTTCATACCTGGACAGTTTTACTGACATTCTGGCATCTTGGTCACTGGTGAAGTTAGTGTAGCAGGAGTTACTTCCCCTTGTTCATACAGCGGTGAGCAAGGCAAAGTAAACCAGGCTTAGTAGCTAGGTAAGCCCCTGGTCTCTGTTTTCTAACCTGGATGGCTTCATTCACTTGTCTTACTCTCGCTTAGTCTCCCTGTACTGATGTCACCAGTGACCAAGCTGGCAGTATGTCTGAACTGTCTTGGTAATAACTTTTAAGTTTAGGAGGCACTGTAGTCTAGTGGTAGGACGCTAGGGCTAGTGACCGAAAGGTTGTAGGTTCAAGTCACGTCACTGTGTTGTATCTTTGAACAAGATACTTAACTCCGCATGTTCCAGTCTACTCAGCTGTAAATGAGTACATGGTTGGGCAGTGCTTGAATTGTTGAATGCTAGCTGTGAGTCCTGAAATGGCAGCACCGGCTGTATGCTCCCCTGCAGGGAGTTGAGAAAGTTATTGGCTGGTTGCAAAGGCCCTATAACCATGGATAATAATTTGTGAACCACTTTGAGACGACTTACAGACTAGGTTGTGGTAAAGCTGTATATAAGAACCTCAAATTATTATTATTATTACATAACAGTGATCATATGAACGTTCACACACATATATATATAGTTCTTGCTAAATTAACCTATTCAGTGAAGTTAAGCACTGGTTCTGCATGCTTCCTATCTTATACACAGTACCATAGATGGTCTTGTAGTATCGTATGCCAGTATGTGGTGATACAGCTGTTATTATTTCTTTGATAAGAAGTTGACCTTTTCTCCAGATGTCATTTATTTTTCTTATATGGCATCTCTGATGTATTAAGTACTGAGATATGTGTAGCTTAATTTTGTTATTGCAATAATCCAGGTCAGAATGTTGGTTGTGATTACAGATCAATTTAATATTGATGTTTGAATAAAACCTGGTGTCCTGTGTAACAGAAATCAACACTATGTTGGTCAGGACCAGATGACATGTTTCGAGTTAACCCTTTCACCCCTATAACTTAAGTAAACTTTACTATGCGTTGATCTGGATGAGTCCATTGTGGTGGAAGGGTAAAGAGGAGACTCTTTGAGTCCTCCAGTTTTAACAAGCTTTTAAATAATACTTCACAAATTGATTCCAGTAAATAATGTTTTTTTAAGAATCATCAGTATTTTTAACATTAAAATGTTTGCTATTTTATTGCTAATTTGCATATCTTTTAAAACTGTTGTCACAGAAATAGTGTCAACAGTAAAGTCAGACCAAAGTATTAAATAAACAGTAGCTGTGTACATACGCTTCACTGATCATTTTTCTGATGAAGGTGATAGAGTACCTACCGTACTAGTCAGCGAAACGTCACATAGAAACACTTTTTGGTTGTGTTACATGAACCTTTTCATAATCCAGACCAAAAGGGTCCCTAGACTCACTTTTCACTTGTTAACTAGAAACAATAAACACCTCAAACTGTTATACATCAGCAATTGTTTATCAAATAATTAAGTTGAACACGAAATTGAAACAAATCATAACATTGATGGATATGTTTATTATTTGTGGTCCAATAAAACGTATCATAATTACTGGTTTGACAAATTGGAATTTCAAAATCTGTGATTATGGTCAGTTTTGGTGGACTAAAAACACTGGCCTCTTTCTATACATATAGTTAACTCATTCACCCCTGAAATTTCATCATGAACTATTCCATCCTTTGAATTGGAAGAGTTCAAATGTGTCTTAAGGGGTGAATGAGTTAACTGCAATATTTACTCTTATGGTAGTCACATATACATTGAACCCAATCAATTCTTGAAGCTTCTGTATATATCTTACAGAGTAACCAGTTTTGTTAAAAGGTGGAACCAGATATACCAAGGTTACCTGGGTTGGAAATCTTGTGGAACCACATGTTAGAGGAGATTGAAATTTCTTTTAAAGATTGTTTTGCCTGATCAAACCTCCCAGAGAGTAAATAGAACCATGGTTTGTATAGACCAACAGCTAGATTCATCAATTCTCATTTATCATATCTCAAACTGGAGTCAGCAATGCTTTAACTCATTCACCCCTGAGGACACATTTGAACCCTTCCAATTCAAAGGTTGGAATAGTTCATTATGAAATTTCAGAGGTGAATGAGTTAATAGTAATGTTTCAAACTTGCAGCACTTTTATGGCTACATGTATTAAAATCAGTCGTTAAATGAAGAATTCAGATATATCGTTTATCAACACAGCCAACAAGTCTTAAATTGTTTTGATTTGATTACCATGCATGATGCCAGACTTGAGAGGGTTAAAAGACCAATTTGGCTGTGCTTGCTATTTATATTTGAGGAGCAATTCTTCATGAACATAAACATTATTTTGATGAAATGAAAGAATGAACACTGCACATCTTCATCAAAACAGCTCATTTGGTTGTTTCATCTATTCTTCATCTGAAGGAGGTTTGACATTCTTATGTTTAACTCAATCACCCCTGAAGACACATTTGAACTCTGCCAATTAAAAGGTTGGAATAGTTCATTATGATATTTCAGGGGTAAATGAGTTGGTATATATAGTTTGCCAGTATGGTGCGAACAGTTAATTAATGTTTCTATAACTTGGACATTGTCAGGGTCTTATTATCAACGTATATAACAAGTCATGTTGTACAAGTTTTGATTTTCTGTAAAATGTGCCATGTGGTATGATGAATCTTGTGAACCAAAGATGAACTAGAGGTTTTTCTCTCTCTCTCATTTATCATTGCTAATACGTGATTTTGTCATTGCTTAATACGTGTACTTAAATTTCATCGATGTTGAACAAATGTTTTGTGTGTTTTGTCCCCATGTCATTTTTGTTGTACAATGAAAATGAATGATGAAATTTTCTTGTGTTTTTGTTTTGTGTTTTTCTGTCAGAAATATGATTTTCTCCGACAATGATATCCAACATTCAGTCTGTTTTTGCGTATCCTGATTGAAATGGCACCGAAACATTCCGTGATAAATGAATGACGTTGACAGGAAATGGGTCAACCAAATATGCAAAGCGTAAAATGCAGTTTCAGAGTTTATTGGAAAATAAACAGCAATATATCTAGAATTTAGTGTGCTTCTTTGACCATTGTAAAGTTTATAACATGTCCTAAATATGTGCGAATTGACCAAGTTTTGTGTAGAAAAAGTCTGCCTTTTTAGGTTTGGGCAGGTAAATCTTGGCCCCTCAATATGCACGTGCCAAATAAGGTCAGCCTCGGTTTCAATCTGTGTTTGTAGTTTTCTCTTGGTTTCAACCAGTTAAAATGGTTGAAACTCTTTGTGTTGCGCATGACATAATTATCTCTTCAATAGTCTGCAATTATATAATATTACCAAATATAACCATTATAATTTCGAATTCGATGTTTCTTACATGTATATATTTTCAAAAAACCGGAGAATACCGAAGTGCTAACAAAACCATAATTCGAACTCAAAATCGATAAAATTAGAGCAAAATATGAACACATTATGGAATGCTTGAGCTTGAAGAATAAGACCACGTGTTCCGGAAGGGTAAGCGTTTTCTGCTTCATCGATGACACCATGTAAATATATATAAAACCAAGTTATATCACGTCATCACATTGAGATCTCTGGTAGTGACTTACTTCTCGGCATAATATTTTTCATTTAAGTGAATTTTTTCTTCTTTTTCTTTCAATTATTTGTGAACCCTGTAACTTTTCTCTCTTCGATGTTCAGTTGAAAAATTAAACTCGTTGAAAAACATTAATCATTTGTGCTGATGCACAAAAATTGCTTCAAAACTCGGTAAAATTCCCATAATGAAACGGCTTTAGCCTGGTAGATTCAACTGGAAACAAGCCACTGTTTATGATTTATACACTTTTTTAGAAAAAAATACATCTTTGAAGTCATCGAAAAACAATCTTTGCCACTAACAGCGACGCACCTGGCATTTGACATGGGTAGCTATTAGTGTTTGCAGCATGCATATAAAATAAAACGTTACATTTTCCAATGTCACGCCCCTGATTAGTATTCACGTCAAGCGGATGCTCTATTCCTCCTATAACGTCGAAACATGTTTGTAAAGAGCTTTCAATTTTTTTTTTTGCATTCACAAATAATGTTGTTAAAACAATTTATAAGGCTCTCAAGTACATGGGGCGTCTGTAGCCATTCAGCGCGTCTGGTTCTCCAGTCAAACACGTTTCCAGTCAGCAGGAAGACTTTGCCGAGAGGACCAAAACCGACAGAGAGACAAACGAAGTTAAAGCAAGAAAGGATTTATTTCCCTTTTTGCATAATGATTATTTCTGCAGTATCTAAAGCAGCCGAAAGGAAACTTTTGATTTTGGTGGTGGAGGAAAGCCGGAGCTCTCGACCTACGGCCAGTACCTGCCCCATACGAAGAAGGAACAAGAAATTGTACAGTAACTGTTTGCAACGGGAGTTCAGTGATACGGGTGAATGTACCTATAATCTGAAAGTAAAAACAACAGCTGCGATACTTTATAATGAAAATTTATTTTTGTTACAAGGAAATAAATACTGTTGAGCAAATACTAAATATCACAGAAAGAGAATATCACTTCTTTTTTTTTTTGAGTCTACATAAACAGCACACATTTATTTATCAGTCTGTCAACCGACAAATGTAGTTGTGATTTTTAGCTTGCAGAAGTATAACAAATTACTTCAACAAAAGAAAAAGAAAACGGTCCTGTTTGGTATTTACGACGAGTGATGGCCGATTCCTTCGATAACGTGGATACATCTGTTTGTAAAGAGCTTTCAGCTTTGTGTGTTTTCACACTTTCACCAAAAGCGAAACACAACGCTTAATCCTTGTTTGCACTGCTTAACCTCCATTATCTTTAATTAAGTCGGGTTCAAAAATGTCCTCATTTCATCCTTATTCCTGTTCCACAGACTTTGCTCTATGCTGTACAGGTACTGGTCGTGAATACAAACGTTTTGCCGATGTCCCTTAGGAACGAGTTGATTATGTATGAAATACACGTTCCATCGCGACTACCTCAAGGTGTTTTAACTCATATTTTTAGTTTTTTCCTAAACACCTAATGGCAAAAATATCCACTACGCATGTCCAAATTTGAGTTGATTATGCTGTCGTCCAGTACATGTCACTACTCTCGAGGATTCCTCACACTGGTCTACGTTTTATAACAGTGGAGGGTAACACAAGGACTGGACCAGGGAAGATTGGTGTAACGGTAACGAATCTAATTCTCATTGCGCATGTCGACTGACATGTTAATGACGTCCCATGAAAAGCTTTTAAGTGTGCTCGTTGTCCAATGACGTTTAGTTATTGCCTCGTTATGAGTGTCCAATGACGTGCCTGTCAGGTGGTGTTCTTTTGGCTCCCTCTGGCCACGATCCCAATGGCGGCCCTCTCTGTATAGGTTAATAAGAGATTGCAATAAAGCACGATATTAGTACATATGGACTAAAATGGTTGAAAATTTCCAGAAAAAAGTAACATCTCACATCTGTTTCAATATTCACAATCCTGACGTCTTTACTTGCTGTACTGAGTCGATAGGGAAACAAGGAAATCTGATGGACATTTTTCCTGATCAAAGACAGATTTTCATGACAAGCAAAATAATTGACTGGAAAGTTATGGTAAAATTTCCTTTTTTACTGTTTTAAATGGAGAAATATTTTCAATTGATATATCATGTGATTTCTAAGCCTTAGTGGTTCTATTAAAATTGTACTGAGAATTGTGAAGTTTACTAACTCAAGCTGGTAAATAAAATTCATTGGGAAAGAAAGACGTTTGATGATTATGATTTACAATAAAACACAAACATACAAAGCGGCTTTGGAACTCGTCTACACTTGTGTGCTCATCAACACGCCCGTACATAAAATGATATTATTTGTTTGTTTATTTTTAATGTTAGGAATTGAAGATAATGTTTCTAAGCTGACCTTGCCCAAGACATCCAGGGTCATGGCGTCGTACAACATTGTTTGTATTTCTACAGTCTCTCGGAGGTCCTTGTACTCGGCTGCGCACCGCCCCATCTGGAATTGACAAGTACAGAAATAATGGACCGGTATCGATGTTGATGCAAGGTGAATAAAGATACTAGTCTATATTCCGTCTTTGCGTATTGCAGAGTTATCTTCTCTTGAGAGCAGGGATTGATTGTTACGTCATTGGTTTGTGTGAGAAAATTACGTCGTTTTCTCAAAAATTGATGAAGTTATTCTCACAAACAAATGACGTAACAATCAATAACTGCTCTCAAGAGAAGATAACTCTGTAATACGCAAAGACGGAATTGGACAATGGGAGAATTAATGTCAGATAAAAACAAAAACATGCAAAACTAAACAAGACTCCTGAACACATTAAATGTCGAAAATCAAGGCATTACAGAGATAACTGCATCAGTGAATATATAAAATAGAATAGTGCTATATTAAGTGCATATCAAATATTGTCTCATCATTTTCTACTTAACCCGAAATGTCCCTTAGTTATAATTTTTGATACATTTACAGAGAACACGACGCATTTCCAAATGAGTTCTTAAAAAAAATGTCGAAATTATCTTCTTAACGAATGAAATGCATATAAATTTTATAAAGGGTTCTTAATATCCAAATTTCCTAAAATGTACAAGTTATTCATGCATTAGACGTGTTGTAGCATTAGCTTCTGTTCCTATATATATAGTATTATGTAAACGCACCATGTCGACTTTGCTCTCGATAGACTCGGGGTTTTTCTCCAGCAGCAGACACACATATTTCATGCAGACATTAGCAGGAAGAGAATAGGCATAATGGAGAGGGTATCTGTTCATCTGGAAGTAAAATAATGCAAAATATTAAACTTATAAATGGTGATCTCAATTCCAGCATGCAGACGATATGGACAGGAAGGTATGTCCACTGATTAACCCAGTATACAATTATAAATCATGCGTATATGTCCCAGATTTATCAAAATCAAATCAATGCGAAACAATCTTCGCACACTTAAATTGACATTTCATATTAATTGAATTTTGCATTGAACGTCGGGTTAATGTCAGGAGTTTGCCTATAAACGAGACTTAAGGGGACGACTTTCAGCTTTATTTGAAACGAAATATGAAGAACAATATAAAGACATATTTTATATAGTTGTACTGCTGCATGATCGTATGATCGTAAGATGCAGTAATCCAAAATGTTCAGCGCTTGATATTTCATATCTTCACTAAAAACTTAAGGTTTAAAGAGCATAACTCATTGAATTGCAAGAATGTCAGGATCGTGTTTTTTCGTATCGTCGTTTTAATACCAACAATGATCTGCTGTTCAATTCCGTCTTTGCATATTGCAGAGTTGTCTTCCCTTGTGAGCAGGTATTTATTTTTACGTCATTGGTTTGTGTGAGGAAATTACGTCGTTTTCTCAAAAATTGATGACGTTACTCTCACAAACCAATGACGTAACAATCAATACCTGCTCACAAGAGAATATAACTCTGCAATACGCAAAGACGGAATAGCAGCACGCGCGTTTCTTTTCTTAGCTTCTCTGTTGCTATCCTTTCAATGGCGGTTCTGTCTACATATGAGCTGCTATATGATGTTATTGCCATTACAATATATTAACATGTATCAAGAGTTACCCAAAAATACTGCAAATTATCTTCAAGTTATTTAACCGTACGGTTTACAGGAAACATACTCCACCAAACAAAGGCGTTGCCATCACGACCTTTGTAAAACAACCACGAAACTTATATGGACAACTTCGACCCAAACAAATTATGACGACCTGTTGTTGTAGCGGTACAGTTCACAAGACCAACACTATACTTACGTTATCAGGAATAGACCTGAGTTCCGGTCGAACAGTGCACAGATGCTTACAGATATCGTACTTGTGAAATACGATGGCTCTCGTGAGGACGGTATAACCATTCTGAAAAATAACAATGTATTCCAATATTTCATTTGACTTGTCATCTAGCCTCATTTGCCGGAACAAGAGTTTCTGTATGATATATTATTTCAAAGGTAGCAACAAATCTAACATATTTTGTTTACCAACATAAGTCGTCACTTGCCCTTTCTACTGGAGAAAACCACGTTGAAGAGAAAAAGGTTTTACGGTCATTAATATTTCTCAAGAGAAAAGGGATTATCACTTTTTTTTAGACAATACAATATTAACAACAGTTAAAATTTCCGGACTGGTATTAACTGGGTATCGCAGACGAAACCAGGAATTACACCCGATATCGAGCTGTTTTTATTATGAAAAATTCTACCTCAAAATCCAGCACAATTTCCTCCATACTAATGGAAAATATCAGCACAATCCATTAATTACATATATATTCTTAATATGAGATGGTTCCTCGATCTAGATTTGGTTTGGTTTTAGTTTGTTTAACGTCCTAATAACCGCTAAGGTCATTTAAGGACGTGCCCCAATGTGTGTTGTGTATGCGTGCTTGCGTGTGTGTATGCAGGAGGCAGGGTTCCGCCCGGTCACCCGGTCACATTATACTGACAACGGGTGAACCAGTTGTTGCCATTGCCCAAAATGCTGAACGTTATGCAGGGAATAACAAATACCATTATTAAGGAATTTGGTATGTCCCGGCCTGGGGACAGAACCCATTGCCTTCTAGAACCTGTTGCCTTCCTCGTCTGGACGAACGTTCAACATTAAAGCCAAACGTGAGGTATTGCCAAGTACGGCGATAGGAAGTAAAATGTAGTTAGAAGTAGAAAGAAAGATAAAGATCACAAATATTGCAATGAAAGCAGCAGCTTTTGTTTTGGTCGCTTTTGTTTCCCTTTAATAAAAAAAAAACCCACCTCAATTACTATTAGGAACACATTATGCTTAATTCGTATGAAAATTGGTAGTTACTGGCATATTTTTCCGATAAACAACTAGGTGAGATCAACAAATTTCTGACTGTGTTAGTTTGTTGTACATGTGATGCAGCATGCTGTATTTTGTTGTTACATAGATGAAAATTTTGTCAATAAATCACGTATTACCCTGTCCACATAATTGGCAGTATACAGGTTTTTTAATTCATCTAGATCACCATTAGCCGCTGCGCTAGATATTTTTTCTGCATCCGCCTGAAATGAAATTTAAAAAAACAGAAATTAGTACATATAATAGAGAAGCACGTTTAATGATAAATATTCTAATTATTTCTGATTCATATCTAAAATTACATTAAAATCAGTTCTTTACCAGAACTAAAAGCCAAAGACTAATTAAATACCATTGAAGAAAAAACATTTTACAAAGGAAAGTTTAGTACTAAGTTTCAATGTTGATTATAATTGGGAATCAGTAAGAGGCATATAACTAAAAAGAATGCAAATCAAAAATAGATCACAAGCGCATATCTAACTAGGTAATAGTTAATGTCAACGAAGCACCATAAATGTCGGTTAAGATTGAAATTGCAGTAATTTGGACAAAAGTTATAAACGGAAAACAGAAAAGTGATATAACTCTTATGTAGGGTACTGATGATGTGTTCAAACATTCATATATATCGGTCGAGCAGGTCAGTAGGACTACCTCAGACAAAATCTTTATAAGGATATCAGAAAGGGGGAATAACTCCTTTAATAATGGCCGGATCAAAATATTAATCGTAAATGCACAATTTGAGAGTGTGTTGGCCATATCTGTGCAGTTTCGTGAAATGGAAGAAAACTACTGAAGACGTTCGTGAATAGCATTTGTAAAACTAGGCACGGATGGCCGAAAGGAAATTCTAACTCTGGTATACCATAAACCCCACTCGACACACCGTTAAACTTTGTCGAGGGGAGGAGATATAATGCAATACGACATTCTTCGTATAAGTAGTAAAACCATAATAGTTTCATATTACGTACACCAAAGGTTTTTCAACCATTTTTGGCATAATTATGAGCATACCTTTCTATAGCAAAATCAGTTGACACATGTGAATAGGCAGTCGCGACCTTTTATATATTGTAAATTCCTATACTAGATTATGATAAGTATCTCACACACCCCGAGTTCTATTTGACAGATAACTCTAGATTTACTTACCTCGAATTTTTGGAACTTAAGCTTAATCTTTTTTTCTTCCTGTACCATTTCTCCCAACGTTTTTCCAGTGGTCTGATAATGAAATAAATGAAAATTAGTGTTCGAACGTCAAATTTCTCTACACACAACACTTTACTGAGTCTATTGTACACGTCCCCCACTATAAATATTTAACGAATTACCTGGTTTAAGTGTATTTACTATCTGGATATAAATATGGCTTAAACAAAACAAATATATTTGCCCAATGTTACAATCTATTTTTATTTCCAAATGCATTGTAGAAAAGGAAGATGTGGGATGATTTTTATATTTATCCACCGTAACAGTGAAACATTTACTGTTATTACCTGACTCTCTATTTAAGTGTATATGAAGTATTTTTGACTGTTTTAATAAAATAAAAATCCCTGGAAAAGACTAAAAGCCCGTAAAATAATGTCAGGGTGCAACAGTCGACTGTTGCACACTAACTGTTGCATGCGCAACAATCGTGCGCAGACAATTTCCCCGTCGGCGGCACCACTCAAGCGTCTTTTGGATACAGATTTGTTTGTTGTTCTCTGGTGAAAGTGGCGAATAACGGCAGATTTGAGGATGTTTCTGAGCAAGATTTGGAACTGCTTATGGAAAATAGTGACTCTCTTAGTACAATAAAACGACATTTAGGGAGCTGTGAATATTTTTGGATAAATATTGTGCAGAGAAAGGTGTTATGATTGACGAAACCTGCAGTAATGAAGACCTGAACGAGTTTTACTTAGAATTAAATCTCCTAACTCGCACAATTCAGGAAGTTTCTTGAATAGAGAGTCAGGTAATAAATCATTTGTTTCATTGGTACTGGGGGAAAAGTCAAATCCTTGACCCTCGTTAGCAGGGAAGACCTAAGGAACTGTTGCCCTCCGCTTTCGGCCTTGGGCAACAGTTCCCTAGGTCTTCCCTGCTGCCTCGGGTCAACGATTTGACTGTTCCCCCATGCCAGTACCAATGAAACATTTGTATACTGTTGTTATACGTTAGAATTACAGTCTACATAAATTATTTGACTTGTCAAACCCCCTTTAATTTTACATGTTTTGATATATAATAAAAAATACCATTTTCAGTCAGACAATTTGTCTAGTTTTTACAGATAGGTACAGGAAGAACGAAATTTATTTTGAAAATCTTGTTAAATTCGTTACTAATATGACGATGCGTGATGCGACTGTACCTGTGACGTTTATCCGTTACCTTGACTACTGATCTTACCTCGTCTACTACATCAAGGGTATCTCGTTCATGGCACAAATGAGATGCATATTTTGGTATGTTTGTTGGCTTTTGCGATATGTACTGTAGAATGAAAGACATTGAAATAATAATGAAAAATACGAATTAAAAAGTGAAAATGAGTAAAATGATTGAAAAATATTATTTTTGATTAATCTTTTAATGTAGTAAACATTAGTCTTATATATATAAGAAAGTATTTTACAAATGACAATCCATTTCACAACTTATATTTTTCTTTTTAATATTGTTCTATATAATCAAAGAGAACAAACACTTTGATACGTACACGATCTATAACCTTTACGATGGGGTCGTTTTTCTGAGCAAGCGCGAGTTCTCTTGGTGTAAGGCCATCCTAAAATGATGAGGTACAATTCATGTTAAGGCCCTGGAATCGTTAGCAATACACTAGATATGTGATATTTCACTTATTCTTTGATTTTTTGTCACTTTCACGCTTCTCTGTTCTTTGTAAAGTGATTGGATATCGTGAACAGTTACTCCATCTGCCATCGCCTATTGGTGAGACAAGAGATGCTTTTGTTGGGACATCAGAAGTTAATACTTTATTTCACATGCTTTAAAAACACAATTTGTTTAACCTAAAACCCTATATTTTCGCAGTTAAATGAAATAATATGCGTTGGCTGATTTTTGTATGATGTCTCCCAACTCTTTTATTCGTTACATAATCAGATCAATATCGAATCCCAGTTGGATTATTCTGTGTTAATCATTTTACAGTTCATATTCAATATCCTGTAACCTATTACGAAAAGTCAGCTCAAGTACTTTGATTCGTTATCTACATAAATAGAATGTTATTCAAAGCTGAATTTACTAAAGCAGTCGTCAAAATAAGGTTCTTTTGAAATGTTAAAGAACTATTCAGAATTTCGAAACATCAAAAGCCGAGTTGAATATTAAAGATATAATTATGAATTTCGCTACTTTAGGAAGAAGAGTGTAGAGAGAGGTAAACTGTTTTACCTTATTCCTTTCCACGAGACAGCTGCCGCTGCTAGTGTCTATTAGCCAGTGGACAAGTTTGGGTGACACGTCCTCCTCTATTGCCCGTAGCACCGCGGTGTTACCATTCTGTATAACAAAGCATGATCCCTTTATGCTGACGACAATTAAAATGCCATAAGAACACACACCACATATGCAACTTCAGTTACAGTCATTAATGTACAATGGTTTCTCAGCGGTATAGAAAATGACAATAACCTGTTTTTCAAATTACATCTTTGATAATAGATGGATGAACAAACGCTTTGTAAAATAGGAATTACTAATATTTTAGTGTACAAAACAGCTTGAATTTAATAGAAATTTCTAACTCATTTCAGGGAAAAAAACAAAAATGAAGGTCCTCAAAAATTAGTAATGGTCTCTCATTTAGTCATACCTTGTCCTTTTCTAACCGTTCCTTAATATCCATTCTTGCGTTGAGAAATTTGGCAATCTCTGGGTTTAATCCAGCTTTTAAGCACTTGTGGAATAAAGGAACGGTCTCCTCAACCTGGTAATATATACACACAGACATGACTTTTAGCTATAACAATGTTTGTTTTGTTATATATACTCAACAAGAACAAAAACAATATTATGGGTGTGACAAACATATAATATGTAACAAGTCACATTATATGTCTTTCAGATTCTACCTTTATTTACATAATCTTGTATATGATCTAGGAAACATACACCTGTATATTAGATATAATAACTGTGATTTCCTTTTCAAAAATCCCATACATGAAATATGACTTTGTATTTTGATCTCCCCTTATTTTGCTTGTTCGCTTATATTCAACTAAAATGCACTTTTCTTTTAAACACATCATCTTTTGTCTACAATATTTCTACAAACAAAAATAAATGTATTGTCACTTTGAGTAAGTTGATTTGTTTTGTCAAAGCTGTGCATCGAGACATTCCATTTCATGCATTATACTTAAGTAATCCTATTAAACATTACACTTACCATCCCACTCTCTCTGACCCTGATAGCGTTGACCTTGGCCCCTCCCCTGTCAACCAACAGTCGGACAAGGTCAATATTGTTAGCCTCTACTGCGTGTGACAGCAGTGTTTTCCCAGTACGGTCCTGTCGATATATTAATATTCATTAAATACATAAATTATCATATGTTGTACATAATATTTAAAATCATGCAGTATTAAATTATTATCAAATTTGAAAAAAATATGACAACATAGTATAAACTATTCTCAAAAAATTTGTACCGACTTAATCATATATTTAAAAACTTGAAATTGTAAAAGTATACTTCTTTTAATAAGCAATGTCCACTCTGCTACACAAAACCTTTGAATAAAAAATAATCATGTTCATCTATTCATAAAAATATTAATTGAACCTATTCAGGGATTTTCATACATGCATTATGTAATTGAAAACTGCTGACCATGAACCGGATATTTGTCTTCCAATCCTTTTCTTTTTCTATGATATCCCGGGCCAAGTCCATGTTCTCGCACAACACAGCATGTATGAGCCTCTGAAATCATAGACATGCTTATTAATTACAAAAGTCAAAACGCAATACGCCAAAGTTGGTACACAGTTTGTTGACACTTAGTAATACTTCCAAACGGAATTATTATAACAAACCAAACGATTTCACCTTGTGATTCCTTGGCCTGTATGAATGAAACTGTTCACATGCTCCAGCATAGATTTTGTTCTCAAGCCTAATTTATTGTTTCTTTTATAAATTTATAATAAAAATCTAATTTTGTCAATGATATGGGAAAAAAATAGATGAGACTTAAAGCCAAATATCGTTTTCCATGTTTGCATTTGACGTTTTGATTGTTTGATGTGATTTAAGCGAGTTACATGAAAGTTGGTTTGAGCACGGAGTTCATGATTGAGCATGACAACGGTTTCATAAATACGGGCCCTCGTGTGTTTATAACAATGATTGCAGATGGTCAAGCTACGATGACAAGTACTTCTCCAGATACAAGTTATGTCGATAAAACACCTAGTTTGTTAGCTTCACTTACACTGCTTGTCCGATAGCCTTTGAGGATTCTCACACAATTTTGAACCTGAGGATCCTCCTCAGACCTCATTATTGCTAGCTCCATCAATGTCTTCTCTTCCTGTCGGCAATTAAAGGGTTCGTTTAATTACATCAACGGACTATGTTCAATATCGAATACAGATAATAAAAATCAACTATTATATTCTGAATATGAAGGCATATGTTTTTCTTCACACTTCTAAAACGAATTTACTTAGAACAGTACTATTCAAAACATATTTAAGATTAATAATTACAAAATTAGAAAAAGATAATCGGTGTCATTTGCAAACTATGCCAGCATTAACAATATTTGTTTTGAAACAAGTATTCATCCATATTCATCAATTCATTAATAAGTTGGTTACTTATAAAATATATAACTGTCAGGAGAAGGTAAAATATTGAACAAAATAAATGACTAAGAACGAAAACCAAAGTTGTTGTCAAGTATAAAATTTCGAATCCATGCAAAACATTCCATCAGAGTTCTTCAATTTTATTCAAACTTCATGATTATTTCTATTTTCTTTTATAGCTAATCGAAAATTTTGTATGATTTTCACATTGCAGTGGACATCAGAATAATGAGTATTTTACTTAATGAATCATACTGTCTATCATTTAAAAAAATAAATAGAACAGTAAATTAACCAGAAATTTCAAAACATAAAAAAATCCTTGATTCACATGCAAACACGTTTATCTCAGTTCCACATGTTTGTAATTATTGGACGCACGTTTTGTTATTTGCTATTTTTACAAGGCAATGGGCCAATAAAACTGTCGTTACAAGAAAAACGTAGAAGAATATTGTCTACAAACTGCCAACAAAGGAGCGATATGTGATAATCTGCTTGCTATTTTGTTTTCTAGAAAAATATATGCACAGGGCAGACTTAGCCATTAACCAAACTATTAGCTCAAACAAAATATTCACACGTATCTCTTTGAAACATTATCCATTAACCAAAACAGTAAATACTTCTTTATATTATTATCTTAATTGAAATTCTTCTTTTCTTCTAAAATAATAAAAATGACAGGTTATGTCCATTTTCCATTTCCACCTCAAAGTTAACCTCGTTATACAGTAAGTGTAGTTACGTAAGTCAAATCCAGTTAGTATGTTACTACACAGAGTTCACACGTAACGCCACGAACACGAAAACATATTAAGGAATCAGAATCTTACATAAATCTATATCAGGTTTTCTATTAGCATACACGTACGCCATTAAAATGTAGTTTGCATGTTAATTACTGTTTTCTTACTTATAAAGTATGCCTAACATTTAGAAACATGGCTGTTATGTTGTGTGTGCTTTTTTTGGATTTAATGAGTATACCGGAATAATGTTAATAGTTAAACGTCCGCTTTTCATATATATCTTCACTGGCCTCGACCATTTACATTGTGTATCAACGAATTTAAATGTTTTTCCTGGACCATTAGACATTAAGCAGCTAGCATTTGTACCGTAGACACATAACAGATTGTGGTGAATGATACAAACACGTACTGTATATAACTCTATTATATATTTTCATTAGTGCTATTGACCATTTACAACACAGTGTGTTATAAAATATCTAATAGCACGAGTCATTTACATGTACAATATATGTTTATAACATTAAATTTCAATTATTACCAACCTTTGATTTGCCGCGATTCAGGAAACTCATCTGTTAGATGATTTATAATGGTAAATATTATGTAAAAAGGCAAATTAAGAATAAAAACGACCCACTTGCTCATTTGATCAATAACCATGTAAAGAAGTGATATGCAGATTTCATAACAGAAGTGAACGTGTTTGTTTCATTGCAAAAACATCATAATGATGACAGTGATATAAACTTGCTATTCTATAGTTTATGAAAGGAAGGATATACTTTTGACAGATTACAAACCTTGACTTTGCTACTCAGACTGGCCCACGCGAGAATTCTGAGAATTCTTTCAAAATGTCGATAGTTTCCACACATGGCTTCCACTACGCCTGGCTAGAGAACAAAAACAACTTATCTATACTACTCAGGCCTACCACGAAAAACCTCTTATGGAGGAGGAATGACAACCAAATTGTCTCCGTTTCTTTGACAACGTTCTTTTTCTTAAAATATTTAAATACAAATGCTGATTTCGCAATTTGTTTGGGTACATGTATCTGGAGTAAAAAAACAGTTTTGCTTGACTAGATTTTGATAATTGATTCCAAGTTCAAATATTTTCGTATTCTCTTTTTTCTATGAAAGTGGTACCATAGTCAATAAAGTTTGACGTTTTGGTTGTCATTCCGTTTTCTATACAAAAACACATCTAGTGGTCCCTTTTCTATCAAAACTGTCGTCACATTAGAATTAAAATGTGTTATCCTAGACAAACGACAAACACAAGACATTTATTTCATGTGATTTGAAAACTTATCGTTTAAATTATAATTTAGCATACAGATAATGAAAGGTGAAGTTGACCATTTTTTCCCCCAATACATCTTATTCAAAGCACATGAAATAAATATCACAAAACACATCAACAATTAGGTCGACCACTAGCACTGGTCACACTTATTTCAAAGGCAACTCTTCACATCACAAGCGGAGTATCAATCGCGTAAACTGCATGCAGATTTTCCATTGTATGTATAAGGACCAAACTGTTTTATTTTTTTTTATTTCTTTTCAGATTCATTTTAATTTGGAATGGAATAAATAGTACGTCACATATGTTATCTCCTTTTAGGGTGACGAATTTATTTTTTACCATTCAAAATAAGACAAAGCAAGAGGAGGGATTTAAACACTAAATTTGATGTTTGAATGTAGGTATAAGGACATGGATGAGTAGTGAAGTTCTCTAACAGACGGGGTCAGGATAGTGATCAGCGGTGATAACAGACCTGGTGGACAGGACGACAGTGATCAATAAAGTGATCTACTCTAACAAATCAGAAATACGTTATCACAGCATTTCACGGCACAGTTTAAACACATCTGCTATATTAGCTACGTCAGTACTGCTAGTCAAGCCAACAGGCCTCGTTAACGATAGCAATACCTTAATGGGAAGGACCTCGGTACTACACCAGAACTTTCTGAATTGTTCTAAAGGGCGTGTTTTCCCGCGCAACACGACACCGAGAAAGCCAGGCTACAGAAGTAAATCAGTACTCATTAACTATCAACATAGTCTTCAAACACACAATATACGTATTTGACAGGATTTGAACTCATATGATCCGTCAATGTTATAAATCTTTTTAAACGTAGGTTCAACAGAGTATATTATGATGTAACATATTTCAATTAATGAATTTTGTTTTATTTTTACTTGATCTTTTCAGTTATTCTTGATGAAAGATTGCATAAACCTGAATTAGTATAAAAGGTTAAGTTTTTTAACACTCCAATATAAAAAGTAATGATAACCTAAAATAATCTACTTCATGATTACAAAGAATGTCAGAAGTATTTCCTCCGGAGAAATGGTTTACGTTTACCTGGAATTTCTCCAACATTTTTTTAATTGGACCTTCTGCTTCATCAATAGGGGTTTGACCCATCTAAATGGAAAACAAACAGAATAAAACATAACAATTAGGAAAGACACGACAATTAAAACTTAAAAATAATAATATTCAAATATATTTTAATATCATTGATTCAATTGAATAACTACCGTAAAGTATGTATTAATTCAGACTTTTAGCAGTTGACCTACATTGAAAAATTGAAAGGATTACTGCATAAAAGTCAGTAATAATAGAGTATGGGTAGTTTCTTGGTTATACCATCTAAATAACATAACATTTCCAGATAGTGTTCATCTTGTCAGTAATTTCTGCAAAACAATTACAGATTCATTATGTTTTCTCTTAGACATTACTTGATAGACTTAACAATGACATCAAAAGATGGAACATCATTTGAAAAACCCTCGATTGGAATCTCCCTATCCTACACCCGTGGGCATGAAAGAGTCTTATAATCTTTCTCCTTCAAAGTATCGGACACTGAGAATGATGTTAGATTATCTACACACGTATACGTACAAAGTTCCGCAGTGCTATGTCCGCGCTACACTGTACCAAAGCTTCCGCTGTTTCGTAAAGTCCTTCACGAACAGCAAGGTGTAATGCCGAGTCACCTCCCTAGAAACACAAATAAACGCAATTTGTATTTTCTCCCATTTCATTTCATTTTAATGCCTAAAACAGTTCGTAGAATTCTCATTTGCAACTGTATTATGAAATCTATCTGAAATCAAATGGTAATTGGTAGCTGATTTCCATCCGTAGATTCTCCTTTGAAGATTTATGATAAACATCGTTTTGATATATCCTCAGAACATATTGCTGTTTTTGTGTATTGACGATGTAAGATATCATACTTTCTATTTTTACTTTATTGAAAATCTACTATTATCGCATTTCCTAGGATATGTTTGATTTAAAGCTGTTAACATAACTGCAATTGAAATATATCTATATCATTTTGAAACATTGTGGCTCTTTAGCCTATATTACCTTGTTCTGTATGTTGACCGGAACACCCCCGTTTGCAAACACATATGTGTAGACCTGGGGCTTTCGTATATTTAAGTGTAGAAGAGTATTTCCGTTCTGAAAACAAAGAAACATTACCAATAAAGGATCCTTCGTCTGCTACCATGCACACATTAAACATAAACTTGAAACGACACATTCTCACGTGAGTAAACCACAATAGAAATAAATCACTCATGAGCCTAAAGAACCAGTCTTAAATAATATATTTTAAATTTTAAATAAATGATATTCAGACATATAGAAAATAATAATACATGCATTACAATAGAGGAATACAAACCGTATCAACATATTTTCTTCCATATTTTTGAATTTTTTCTCGGGCCTCATCAGCTGCCGTTTTTCTACTTTTCGTCTCATATGCTGGCATTGGCTGAATTGTGAAAGGAGATGACGTTATTGTACATTAAAGCGACATCATGATGAAGCATATTTCTTTTGCCTTTTTTTCACACTTCTACATAAACATATCACGTGAATCTCCTTAAGGAAAATGACGGTCGAATTTTGCTTCTATTTATTCATTAAAATGTACAATATAAAAATAATTATAGGGGTTTCTACCTGTCCGACCAACATTTTGTTTGGGGTTCGGTGATTGCCTCGTTTCAAAACCGTCACGTGACGTTATCGGCGCTATTTTTAACAGGGCTTTTCCGAACAATTCGAGTAGTCAAACTGGACATTTGGAACGGACTATGAATATTGGGATAGCAAGAAAACATAATTGGAAGCGCAGACAACACGTACATTCAATAAATGAAATATTGGTTTAAACAGTATGTTCTTTTAAGAATAGTCTGATAACCGGAACCATGAAAACATTTTTCTCTGTCACCTGTCATAATCATGATATTGTCTTGCCTAGTTGTTCTGGATGACTAAACAGGAACTAAACATACCCTTTCATATCTGGGAGATTTCGACTCCTCCATAGGTTGTTGACCCACCATGTGGTGCTGTACTGTCGAGATAACGAGACCGTCCCCCGGATGTCTCTGACCTTGACTTATTTCCTTGATTCGCTTTGTGAGTTTGTATAGGTTTTCTTTCTCGGAATGGTCAACCGCTGTGAATTCGGCCTTACACTTGTCCGGACCGTGTTCGTAGTAGCACCACTGGTCACAGCTCCTATCTGGCCACTGTCGAAATAAAAAGAGAGAAGCAAGCTATCAAATGTGTGTTTATCAACAAATTCCCAACATAACTTCGCCTGCCTGACCTCGTAGACTCTGTCTGTGGAGAACGCCTTCTCCACTAGATCTATAGTGATCGTCTCCCTATATACTGACCTGGTAAACTCTGTCTATGGAGAACGCATTCTCCAATAGATATATAGCGATCTTCTCCCTATGTACTGACCAGGTAAACTCTGTCTGTGGAGAACGCCTTCTCCACTAGATCTATAGTGATCGTCTCACTATATACTGACCTGGTAAACTCTGTCTATGGAGAACGCCTTCTCCACTAGATATATAGCGATCTTCTCCCTATGTACTAACCTGGTAAACTCTGTCTATAGAGAACGCCTTCTCCACTAGATATAAAGCGATCTTCTCGCTATGTACTTACCTGGTAAACTCTGTCTGTGGAGAACGCCTTCTCCACTCGATATAAAGCGCTCTTCTCGCTATGTACTTGCCTGGTAAACTCTGTCTGTGAAGAACGCCTTCTCCACTCGATATAAAGCGCTCTTCTCGCTATGTACTGACCAGGTAAACTCTGTCTATGGAGAACGCCTTCTTCACTAGATATATAGCGATATTCTCCCTATTTACTGACCAGGTAAACTCTGTCTATGAAGAACGCCTTCTCCACTCGATATAAAGCGCTCTTCTCGCTATGTACTAACCTGGTAAACTCTGTCTGTCGAGAACGCCTTCTCCACCAGATATATAGCGATCTTCGCCTCCCTTTGCTTTATTGCGAGGTTCACGGGGTCTGTATCCGTATGGCGACCGATGAACTGTAACACAGCGAAGTGTACATACCATTCTAGATCGAAAAAATACAATCAATGTAATCTAGTTTATAAAGGTATGTATTAATGAGATACATTTCAACCAATTACATACTTAAAGTCAAATATATTTGACCAAAATATTTTTCATATCATGATAAACTAATTGGATATAGCGAAAAATAGTCATTTTATAGTACGCATTTTTGAAATACTTTAGGTGCATTTTTTGCCCCGATAGTCTTTACCAATAAGTACATATATGTTAAGTACTCAATATATCTCCTCTATCCATAGTTGCATGCATATATTCACCCTATCCTCTATAACCGTAGGTATATGCTCACCCTATATTCTATATATTCACCTTAATATCTATAACCGTAGGTAAATGCCCACCCTATCCTCTATATATTCACCCTTATATCTATAACCGTAGGTAAATGCCCACCCTATCCTCTATATATTCACCCTAATATCTATAACCGTGGTAAACTCTGTCTGTCGAGAACGCCTTCTCCACCAGATATATAGCGATCTTCTCTCTATGTACTGACCTGGTATACTCTGTGTGTGGAGAACGCCTTCTACACTAGATATATTGTGATCTTCTCCCTATGTAATGACCTGGTAAACTCTGACTGTGGAGAACGCCTTATCCACTAGATATATAGCGATATTCTCCCTATTTACTGACCAGGTAAACTCTGTCTATAGAGAACCCCTTCTCCACTAGATATATTGTGATCTTATCACTATGTACTGACCTGGTAATCTCTGTCTATAGAGAACCCCTTCTCCACTAGATATATCGCGATCTTCTCCCTATGTACTAACCTGGTAAACTCTGTCCGTGGAGAACGCCTTCTCCACTCGATATAAAGCGCTCTTCTCGCTATGTACTGACCAGGCAAACTCTGTCTGTGTAGAACGCCCTCTCCACTAGATATATAGCGATATTCTCCCTATTTACTGACCAGGTAAACTCTGTTTGTGGAGAACGCCTTCTACACTAGATATATAGCGATTTTCTCCCTATGTACTGACCTCGTAAACGCTGTCTGTGAAGACCGCCATCTCGATTAAATATATAGCGATCTTCTCTCTATGTACTGACCTGGTATACTCTGTGTGTGGAGAACGCCTTCTCCACCAGATATATAGCGATCTTCTCCCTATTTACTGACCAGGTAAACTCTGTTTGTGGAGAACGCCTTCTACACTAGATATATTGTGATCTTATCACTATGTACTGACCTGGTGAACTCTGTCTGGGGAGAACGCCTTCTCCCCTAGATATATAGCGATCTTCGCCTCCCTTTGCTTTATTGCGAGGTTCACGGGGTCTGTATCAGTATGGCGACCGATGAACTGTAACACAGCGAAGTGTACATACGATTCTAGATCGGAAAATATACAATCAATGTAATCTAGTTTATAAAGGTATGTATTAATGAGATACATTTCAACCAATTACATACTTAAAGTCAAATATATTTGACCAAAATATTTTTCATATCATGATAAACTAATTGGATATAGCGAAAAATAGTCATTTTATAGTACGCATTTTTGAAATACTTTAGGTGCATTTTTTGCCCCGATAGTCTTTACCAATAAGTACATATATGTTAAGTACTCAATATATCTCCTCTATCCATAGTTGCATGCATATATTCACCCTATCCTCTATAACCGTAGGTATATGCTCACTATATCCTCTTTAACCGTAGGTATATGCTCACTATATCCTCTTTAACCGTAGGTATATGCTCACCCTATATTCTATATATTCACCCTAATATCTATAACCGTGGTAAACTCTGTCTATGGAGAACGCCTTCTTCACTAGATATATAGCGATATTCTCCCTATTTACTGACCAGGTAAACTCTGTTTGTGGAGAACGCCTTCTACACTAGATATATTGTGATCTTCTCCCTATGTAATGACCTGGTAAACTCTGTCCGTGGAGAACGCCTTCTCCACCAGATATATAGCGATCTTCTCGTTATGTACTGACCTGATAAACTCTGTCTATGAAGAACGCCTTCTCCACTAAATATATAGCGATCTTCTCTCTATGTACTGACCTGGTATACTCTGTGTGTGGAGAACGCCTTCTCTATTAGGTATATGGCGATCTTCTCGCTATGGACTGACCTGGTAAACTCAGTTTGTGGAGAACGCCTTCTCCACCAGATATATAGCGATCTTCGCCTCCCTTTGCTTTATTGCGAGGTTCACGGGGTCTGTATCCGTATGGCGACCGATGAACTGTAACACAGCGAAGTGTACATACCATTCTAGATCGAAAAAATACAATCAATGTAATCTAGTTTATAAAGGTATGTATTAATGAGATACATTTCAACCAATTACATACTTAAAGTCAAATATATTTGACCAAAATATTTTTCATATCATGATAAACTAATTGGATATAGCGAAAAATAGTCATTTTATAGCACGCATTTTTGAAATACTTTAGGTGCATTTTTTGCCCCGATAGTCTTTACCAATAAGTACATATATGTTAAGTACTCAATATATCTCCTCTAACAGAACGCCTTCTCCACTGGATATAAAGCGATCTTCTCTCTATGTACTGACCTGGTGAACTCTGTCTGTGGAGAACGCCTTCTCCACTAGATATATAGCGATCTTCTCCTCCCTTTGCTTTATTGCGAGGTTCACGGGGTCTGTATCAGTATGGCGACCGATGAACTGTAACACAGCGAAGTGTACATACGATTCTAGATCGAAAAAATACAATCAATGTAATCTATTTTATACTGGTATGTATTAATGAGATACATTTCAACCAATTACATATTTAAAGTCAAATATATTTGACCAAAATATTTTTCATATCATAATAAACTAATTGGATAAAACGAAAAATAGTCATTTTATAGTACGCATTTTTGAAATACATCATCTTCTAATATCCATTTTTACATTAACAGTTTCGTTTCACATTATACACATTCCTTACATAATTAAACCCAAGTATATATCCATATTATTCTTTACCTTAAATTGTGCAATCAGCAGTCTTGTCCTGTTCTATATAACTTTAGGTGCATTTTTTGCCCCGATAGTCTTTACCAATAAGTACATATATGCTAAGTACTCAATATATCTGCTCTAACCATAGGTACATGCATATATTCACCCTATCCTCTATAACCGTAGGTATATGCTCACTATATCCTCTTTAATCGTAGGTATATGCCCACCCTATCCTCTATATATTCACCCTTATATCTATAACCGTAGGTATATGCCCAACCAATCCCCTATATACTCACCCTATTCTTAATAACAGTAGGTATATGCTCACCCTATCCTTTATAACCGTAGGTATATGCCCACCCTATCCTTTTTAACCGTAGGTATATGCTCACCCTATATTCTATATATTCACCCTAATATCTATAACCGTAGGTATATGCCCACCCTATCCTCTATATATTTACTCTAATATCTATAACCGTAGGTATATGCCCACCCTATCCTCTATATATTCACCCTAATATCTATAACCGTAGGTATATGCCCACCCTATCCTCTATATATTCACTCTAATATCTATAACCGTAGGTATATGCCCACCCTATCCTCTATATATTCACCCTAATATCTATAACCGTGGGTATATGCTCACCCTATATTCTATATATTCACCTTAATATCTATAACCGTAGGTATATACTCACCATATCCTCTATATATTCACCCTAATATCTATAACCGTGGGTATATGCTCACCCTATATTCTATATATTCACCTTAATATCTATAACCGTAGGTATATACTCACCATATCCTCTATATATTCACCCTAATATCTATAACCGTGGGTATATGCTCACCCTATATTCTATATATTCACCTTAATATCTATAACCGTAGGTATATACTCACCCTATACTCTATATATTCACCCTATTCTCTATTACCGTAGGTATATACTCACCCTATCCTCTATATATTCACCCTAATATCTATACCCGTAGGTATATACTCATCCTATCCTCTATATATTCACCCTAATATCTATAACCGTAGGTATATACTCACCCTATCCTCTATATACTCACCCTATTCTCTATATACTCACCCTTTCCTCTATATATTCATTCTAATATCTATAACCGGAGGTATATGCCCACCCTATCCTCTATATATTCACCCTAATATCTATAACCGTAGGTATGTGCCCACCCTATCCTGTATATTCTCACATTTTTCTTTATAAATGTAGGTATATACTCACCCTGTCCTCTATAGCCCTCACTACAGCCCGGTCCGTGATGGGATCAAGCGTCTCCTGAACATTTCTGAAGTCTCCGTGTTTGATATACCCATACAGCTGAAAACGAAAGAGGTTTTGAGTAGTAAATCTATACACTTAGATCTCTGAGCATGGAGATATAGTTACACCCAATGCGTCCTGACAGTTGGATCTGAATCACTGGTATTGTAACATTACTCTATACACATGTATTATAAATATCCGAACTTTCAAATGTATTGATCAGTCAGCGTGGTAGCTCAGATCCATTACTGATTAATGAACAAGCATAGTTATAGTCACTATATACAGATACTAGTTAGACAACATGTAAAAACAGTCAGGGAAATGTTAAGTTTATTTTATTACCGTGTTTTGTCTATATATTTAAAACAGAAATGTTCTCAGACGAATATTGAAGGTTTGTGTTCCTATTTTCGGACAATATTTGAAATTTACCGACATACATACACATTACTTGTAATTGTACGCTAATGATTTGTCAATAACGTAAGAAAACAATTTAAAATTCCACGTTTTCCACACAACTCTGAAAGTACCGTACGTGTATGGATAATGAGTAACAGGACCAGAATTTTATTCAAAAGTTTCAAAATATTTTTTTAATTGCTGCAGAAAATATCCGATTCCATGTTCATATTATCTGAGTAGGGTGGTTATGAGTCCAGTGGAATTCCTATTGTGTTTGCAGTAATAAAAATTATATAAATATTACATATTAAAAAGTAATCTTACTGTGTCGTTAAGCGTTTAAATGTTGAGCCCAGAACTTGAATAGCACAAGCTTGTTAATTTCATAATAATTAAACAAATCAAAGGTTTTAGGTTGATCTCATAAATAGAAACAACACAATTGTCATTGTATGAGTTTAGAAACGTTAATATTTTATTATTAAGCTGATTTTATTTTATTTTCGACGATTTTGGATATCATAGGTAAACAGTGTGTTTACTCCAAGTATAATGCATTAGTGACACGTCCCTGTCGGTACTTAACAGGTAAGAGAGGGATTACCTCACACAATCACTAATGGTTTGTCGACCCGAGCATTGAGTACCATCACAGTATTGGCAAGTCTGTGGAAATGTACACACAGTACATAGACATTAATTGTCTGTAAGCAGGGATTTCCTTACACGAGATGGCAGGATTTTTAAAAGTGTGTCACAAGGAAAGGATTAAAGATTGGTAGATAACACTTCACTATGTATGTACAGATTTATCTTTAGTGTCACACTGCCTGGTGGTTTTAACAAAACTTTGATATTGATTGATTTCTTTACACCCCTGTGAGACACTTCTAAAACTTTCTTAACATATCAACAACAAATATTTTCCGCTATCCACAGGAAATATTTAATGTAGAAATATACATGTATCTACAATAATGTTGGGCCCGTATTCATGAAACGTTTCTCTCAAAATCAAAAATGGATTATTTGTCGAAAACCAACTTTCTTGTAACTCGCTTTAATCATATGAGATACAAAAAGCAACCGACTTTAAAACAATTGAATTCTGTATTTATAACGAACCATAACATCTTACTTTGTCTCATCTATGATGTTATACCAAATACAGTAAATTAAATATGCGATTTATCAGAGGAACAACGTAAATATTGGTTATACATGTATTATCAATATTAATTTCTTTGTAATAAGTCGTCACAAGTATTGCCTGTTAACATATCATGTAACATTAACCTTGTTTAGCTATAATCTTGCATCGGTGCAGTGTTATAAATACAAATGTGTAAATTTAACACAAACTTACCTATTTATAGAAAATTGAATATATATCAATGCATATATATTTCGGGTGTTAAGAGTACAGCGTCAAATGTCTGGGTGTTGACTCCATATGCAGGTCTGTTCAAAATCTTATATATCCCCTACCGAGTATCTGTTATAAGATATCAAATGACCCATCGATTCCCCGGCATAGATAAGTATACATAATATATAAAGACACCTGCTATTGATAAAAACAGCTGAGGTTTAAAAGGTAGATAATATTACTGTTTACCCACTGTCAAACAGTGGATTTGCGAGACCCCTTCAGATAGAGAGTCATCTCTTTGTTGAAAGAAGAATTTACATTTCAGTTAAGGAAGATTAACATTTCAGTTAAGGAAGATTAACATTTCAGTTAAGGAAGATTAACATTTCAGTTATACATTTTTTCAATATTTTGTACAAATTGACATTGTCATCACGACGCAAACGACCATTGTTATGTTTTTACTAACAATCCACAGACGACTCCCAACTATGTATGTATGTCTATGTGAGTTTTATGATACCAACGATAAAACAGTCTATAAAAATCCGAGTTTTACGATCAGAATCTAGGCTCCCAGACAACATGTGTACGTTTTATAGAACTAGAGGTATCTTACCGGGATTCCTCAATGGTGAATGTCGACGGCCCGAAGTATTTTAGATTTTATATATCGATCTAGCGTACGAAGGGCATAGTATAAACAACAAAACGAACCGTTAAATCAAACCAGAGAAACACCATACTTTGTCCATTTTTGTGATGTGTTACACACCCAATCGTTTGATAGCAACAGTGTAATGTAGCCAATAAAAACCTATGTAATGATACTCGGGGGAATAATATTTTACTTTTTGTGTTTTTTTATTTTCAGTCTTTTGTAACATGACTTTTTTTTGCATAGCGAGATGCTAGTGAGTCTTCTCTTTTAAAAGCAGACAAGTTGTACTGTTTTAAATTAAATTTCTAAAATAAAATAAAAATCTTGGAGAAGGGAGTTCTAACGACATAGCAAATATATCATATACATATTTGAAATCAAAACTAGCATTTGTCAACAACTGTAAATGGCATTAAATTGGAAACCGCTTGATCTTGCATAGGGACATGATATTTATTAGTAACGAGATAAAATAATCTGTTTCCGCATCACACGTTATGCTGTATGGTTCATTTGCTGTGATCCTCACATCTGCATAGAACGTGGAGCTAGATTGTCGTATTGTTTCATATCGATTCCGATCTGTTGATCATCTTCTTTAGATTTATTATTAATAATAGGCCAGTAATGTATTTCCATATTGACGTCAATTTCCTCAGAGTGGAATTATATTGTATGTGAGTGTGAAATTACACAGGCTTCATCTCAGCAGCAGGAACTACAAAAGGTTGTGACGTCAATTTCCTCAGAGTGGAATTATATTGAATGTGAGTGTGAAATTACACAGGCTTCGATCATCTCAGCAGCAGGAACTACAAAAGGTTGTGACGTCACCACTGCATTAACGTTATTTAACTGACAATGGCACCAGAGGCTTAGCAAACCGAGTCTATTGCCATCTCAATCAATGTCAATAAGTCTGCCCTATCCTGCCGTGTTTGATCCTCTCCATGTAAGTAACAATGATAGATAGGTTACCCCGCTGATCAAAGTATTGATTCCAGTTCGAACTGCCCGTGGTCATAATCTACCCGGGATCGGATGTGTAACCTGTCAATACACTCGCCAACTTTCAGTCCACTCGACTCGACGAATTGATCCGGCTGTATTACATTAGCATTACTACGTATCTATGCCACATGATCTGCTACAGATATGTTATGGAGATTACATCGCTAACATTTCTCCTTGATAAAAATCTTATATATAGATAATGCCCATGCATATAGCGTCTAATTTTTATTGAATTATTATTTATTTCCGGATTTTTTAAATCTGCTGTCGATAGTTAATGTTTCATAAGAAATTACTTACTGACTTCTACTTGTTCGTTAGGTAGGATTGTCCTTCCAGACCCATTTGTCAGTTATAACAGGTCAGGCTAATATATAAATGTTGATTTAATCGGATTATCGCCATATATAATCCATATCTTAATAACCAGCGTTGACAACAGCTCAATATAAACTGAATGCCTTATTCCAGTTTATTTTGATAGTAAGGCTCGTGTTTCAAATTCATTTGATGTTTTTAAGTTTATGAAATTTACCGAAGGGCCACTTTTATCAAAGTTCTTCAGCTGACGCATAATGACGAATTAGATATTTTCAAAATGTACTAGACTCAAATACAGACGGTTTGTATATATCAGCAATATATTGCAGCTTGTTTATGTATTATCTTACTCATATACATTTTTCTGTAAATCAATGTTCAACGTTAAGGTGTACTGCATACCAATCCATTACTCCCTCCCCTATTCCCGTAACTATTCTGTTGTACATAATACTTCATTCTTGTAGCTAGTGTTGAAAAGTTGATTATTAAGCAGGTAACAAATTTACATAAGTGTCACGACACTTGTTTTTGTTTCCTTTTCTGTTCTATAAAACATGTACTTCGATGTATTGTCAAACAAAATTTGAATAAAACAAAGTTTAAACCAATGTGTACTAACGATGACGCAACAGGAGGATTTGTCTTGGCCCTATGTACCGAATTCCTGAATATAACATATTTTGTGACGTCACAATTGAAACAATTGAAACTTACAACACTCACATGGCCGATAGGTCATATTACATGGGTTAATACGCAAATATATTCACTGGATAACACAGTACATTATGTGATAAATATGTTATGTAAATAAAACTAAGTTTAAACTAACACAGACGGTTTGTAAGTGGTCACATCCTGAATGGTAAATACTACAATCGTGTCATTACATGCTACAAAAGTTGAAGTATATTTGTCTTGTTCTGTATTATAGTTAACTCTTTCCAGCGCAATTTGAACGGCATTAACCTGTTGGTGTATCTTGAATTAGTACGATATATCATAATCAATATTGAAAATAACATGATACATGATGATGTTGTGTTATGTACATGTATGTTGAATTCCCCGGAGTTAAGAATAACCATTTTCACGTGTGCTTACAGTCAGTCAAGGTACATCGTCATTGTCACAAATGAGTAGTATCGTATAGATTCTGATGAATTTTCCGTAATATTTCTACCTTTTGGGCTGTATTTTCAACGTCGAATCCCGGTTCCGACGGCATGGTGTCTAATGTGTCTCAATATTCAGGTTTAATCCGTCCTCATCTGTAAAGAAAAGATGATAGCATACCATTAAAGTAAAAAAACCGCATAAAACATACCTCGTACAGTATCAACCAAAACAAGCTTTACCAAACAAAGACATAACACTGGAACTCAAAGTTAATCATTTGTTAAAGGTTTATCATATTCGTTTATAAGATATTTTTTATAACGTCAATGAGAAATCTTACATATTATGATATTAAAATAAACGATTTTAGATACCTTTAAAGATATAAGAATATCTCCCGTGATTTTCTTTATTAGATATCTTATATAATATACAGAAAAATATCTTATATAATTTAATGAAACATAGGACCAGCATTGATCCTTGTACAAATGTTATATTTGCTTGCCATATTGCTCTGTTTGTTTAGTTGGATTATGTGTTCACACTTAAGCGAAATATCGATAGTTGATGTGATCCAAGACCTTACCTATGTCAGTGTCAAAGTTATGGAAATCGGTGCTAATGGAGGCTTTCTGCCACGTTGTGGAATTAGCTTACGATCTGCTTTTAGAAAGTCGAATATCCTGGCCATATTCAAGAAGGACATACAAACTCACCTCTTCACGTCTTCATTTTAGGCTCTTTGCACAGACATCATGTCCATACTATTCTTTATTTATTCATTTATGTTCATATTGAGATGATAATCGTCTTGCTTAATGTATAATGGTGATTGTAAGCCTTTTTTGTTTAACAATTATAACTAATGCTATTATCAATATGTTGTAAAGAGTTTTAGAGTAATATTACAAATTATGTATGGCGCTATATAAATGTTGTATATTATTATTATTATAAGTGTTCTGTAACGTAAGGATTTGTAGTCAGTTTACCATAGATAAGCTTTAATTCAGTCTCGAACAACTAATAAAACATAACGAAAAGTAATTATTGTAAACTTTAAAAATGTGAAAAAAATATTGGATGTTAGTTTAACAAATTAAACGTATCCTAATTAGGTTTATCTTAGCAAAACAAAATAATTAAACCGACAACCATGTTTTCACATGCATTATTTCTAGTACAGGTGTGTAAGATATTTTCTATCATAATAAAATCCTAATCGTTTGAGCCAGAATAATCTACCTCGCCTCAGGCTTACACCCTCCTGAACAATTACGTATTTTGACTTATGCGCGACGAGGTGGCAATTACGTTTTAAAGTTGCTATATATGAGGTTCTTACCTTGTGATGACTAGTCTCGTTACTGTAAGTATACACGAAAGTAAGTAGCCGTAGGATTATTTCAACTCCAAAAGTCTATTTAAACGACATATTTATGAATCAGTTTGGCATTTTTGGATTTTTATTTTTATTTTTTTAATTGTGTGTAGATAACATGTTCAAGTATTAACGTTCTTTGTTGTCAAGGTGGCTGAAATGAACAATCAGTTAGCAGACAATAAATTGTGCTGAATTATTTATCAATTGAGACAAATATCACCCTGTTACAATACAAACAGGTTGAGTGTGTTTTGGCATATCAATGTGGAAGGGGAAATGCGCCAATATACACCGACAGAAAACAGCCAGGTGCGAAATCAATTTATTATCACTGAATAAACAAAAAGCAGAAAATGTCAAGTGTTTCATTGCTTGCCTTATACACACTCTGACACAAAACACACAATGCTATGTGTGAGCTAACACAACCAATAGTTCTACAATGGCCTAAAGCACGTAAATAACGGCTAGGTGCTTACGATCGCAGAATCCTAGTACAAATACATGTAGATCTATATTCGGTTATACTGGTAATTTAAATGAATGGCCAGCCGTGTTTTACATATATAGGAAGTAAATCCACATATAACTGATAAAATATTAGACTTTTACTGCAGTGAATCACTTAATCACGAACAATATCATTAAGTTTTTCAAACAAGAGCATTTAATGAACCTAACTTTTTACAGCAATAGGAAAGTGGTGGATAGGGTGCTGATCGAATACCTTCATTGAGTGAATGTTTGCTAATTTGAATAATCAACACAAAATATTGTTACGGTATTTACCCCCATCCAATAATCACCTGATATAAAATATACAATCTGGGACAACAATCATTATAACAGAATAAATAACAATCAAACTGTCTGATGAATTCATTTCTACCCGACATTTATATGTTAAGTCAAACAAAAAATACACACAGGTAACCGTCACTCGGCCTGGTACACGGTTATCACATCCAGATTTCAATTCCAAAACCTTATGGATTAAAATGTACGTGAATATGTTTGTAAAGAAATTTAGTGCGTTGAATATTAGTGAATAGAATATATGTATACATACAAGGTATTTAGATGTATTGCATATACGAATTTGTAAGGCGTACGTTCAGGTAAATGGGAAACACTTATATGTTAGTTTAAATACTTGGCGAACAGGTATACAGTAATATACGTACAGATATCGACCAGACAGAAAAAGGGGGTCGTGTTAAATCTAACCGAACATATTCCGTCCCACAAAACAATTAACGGCTGAACGAGAGGTATGGTAAACATGTGTGTATATCAACTGATGTATAGATTTGTATGTATGCCTTACAATGTAAAACTAGGCAGTAATTAAAAACAACAATACCCCCTGAGGTAGGGGTATACAATAGAGCACAGACAGGTGGTATTCTGTTTGTTGTGGACAAACACATGACCCCACAAGTTCAACTGGATAGAGGAAAAAAACAATATATAAGGAGGGAGTTGAAGTGTTATTTACACAGTTTAAACAATTTAAAGTAGCATTGTAGATACAAAGCAGTAACGGAAGTATTGGTAAGGAAGATTTGTATCCAGTCAGTATTATCGGCAACCCAGTCTGTATTATTGGTAGGGGAGATATGAAACAATATCCAGTCAGTATTATTAGTCGGGGAGATACAACGTAGTATCCGGACAGTACTATTAGTCGGGGAGATACAAAGTAGTATCCAGACAGTAATATTAGTCGGGGAGAGACAAAGTAGTATCCAGACACTACTATTAGTCGGGGAGATACAACGTATTATCCGGCCAGTACTATTAGTCGGTGAGATACAAAGTAGTGTCCAGTCAGTACTATTGGTCGGGGAGATACAAAGTAGTATCCGGACAGTAATATTAGTCGGGGAGATACAAAGTAGTATCCAGACAGTACTATTGGTCGGGGAGAAACAAAGTAGTATCCAGACAGTACTATTGGTCGGGGAGATACAAAGTAGTATCCGGACAGTAATATTAGTCGGGGAGATACAAAGTAGTATCCAGTTATTGGTAGGGACGATTTAAATCGGTATACTGTCAAGGTTGTTAGTATATAGATGAGTATCTAGGCAGGGTTATTGGTGGGAAAAATACAGAGCATATTAATACATGATATTTGGCAGGGTATGAAGCATATGCGAGTTTTATTGTCAAGGTAAAGTAATATTCATAAAGAAGATCCACAGTTTTATTCTTACACCATTATTGATCAGGGATATACTCTATCTACGTCTTACAGATCGATCGATTCGTAGAGAAAAACACAATTGTTATATTATAATATGTACATATTAATCGGCTAACGTAACCTAGCGTCATAACGATAACAGATCCATTATAGCAAAAGCTCGCTGTTAGAACATAAATAAATAACTAGTAAGCATGCATGCTCCTAAATCAAGTCTCTTGTATGATGGACACTGTTAAGTAATGGTGGTATGCATTTTTCTCGAAAGAATATGTATATATTTTAACTTTTTTCCCACATTAGTATTAAAATGATTTATTAATAATGATACGCCCTTGCATAAGACAAGCGGGTAACCAAGAAGGTCTGCCTGCTGACATGACATCTGTATTTCAGTAATAAAACTGTTGACCTCGAGTACAGAGCGACATCTTAAGATCTAAATACACTATGAATGTCTAACAACCTTTAGTGGATCAGAGGGTCCTCCACCAAGTCCGTGCCAACCCTTCCCCTCCGTGGTGCAGCACACTGTCTGAATAATTCATCACGAACGACTAGCAAGTCGTGCACGTTCTACAGTTATATCGCACAGGAACTAAACGAAAACGTTAACCCTTCTGAAACCTGGCCTAACACAGGAAACCGTACTGGTAGGATCGTCTTATTGACAGCTAAATATAACTCATATCAAAATGATGCAAATGCTTTTAAATGGATGAACATTGAATCGTGTAGCAGAATATTTCATTAACGACTTAAAATACATTTACTATTAGAACACCAATAGGGCTGGATTCACATGTTATGATTCGTTTGGTTTTGTGAAACAATCAAGCTCACGATCACCTTTTCATAACATTTTCCTTTGTCACGAATAGCAAATGAAAGTATTCTGATCTTAAATGGAAACCAGTCCCGTTCATAATATCCCTCTTTATACCAAGCTTTCAGCAATAAGTGGGGACATTATTTAGTGATATTTTCACATTTATGATTCGTGCGAGGTGTCGTTAATGTTTCTTATTAGAGCTGAGGTCTGGAAACCAGGAGAAACGTAAGGTAGAAACAGATGGTGATCAAAATTAGGTGTATGATGTATTGCCAGGAGCAACCAGTACTGTTAGCGTTACAACTAAAAGTAATTTAAATTAATAGATCTATGACACGAAACATTCTAGATACTTTGCGAAACAATGACGATGTGTATGTACAACCTTACCTGTATATAAAGGTGTCTACAGAAGTGTTATTTCACATTCCACGTTAGCACATAAACCCGTACTAATGGATATCAATATCCGACTGTATCACGTTAGAGAGACTATAATCTGCCTCCGTGTTAGCACCAATATCCATAGGGTTTTACTGAGGCAGATAGGAGTCACAAACTGGCCTGCTCCACAGGTGTAGATCAATGTTTTAACACAGAGGTACCACGGTCGTCGATGGTATTTACAAGGCCAATGGTACACGTATATTTAAATAAGACTATAAGGACAGTGCTCGGTAGCGTATTGTCCCAGACCGTAAGCGATCGGCAAAGTCATCGTCATAGAGAATGTAAACAAAACCCGGCCTACGATACACCTATAGACTTATAACGGTGTGAAATACTCCCCGCTTGTAGGTAATTAAATTGACATAGGTATAATACACTGCGGCAGAATTAACTGGGAATTAAACCCATGTTCATATAGCATATCTACGTTGTGAAATATACCCTGAAAGACAGCATAGCAAATACATAATTTGAACAGGCATTCGGTAAAATATATACAAATGAGTTGTTTAAATTGTCTGTGCAAAAGAGACTTAGTGCTTAATTTGAAGTATCAGAACAAAATAATTTAATTTTATTCGTTAACAGTGACCTTACTGGAGTAGCAAAAATATATTTGAATGTTAACAGACCATAAATATTTTTTCATAAAGAAATTATATGATAGTTGTATGTTTTAGTGTCAGCGTGCAGTCAGCTAAGGAACTGTTTGTAACATGAACCCTGGTTTTGTAAACGGTTCCCTAGTTGCATGAAATACAATCACATAAAACAAAGTACACAAAGTCACATGGGTTTAGTTTTGAAGATTTGTAAAAAAAAATATACAAATGTATAAAAAAAAAAATAACAGCGGCTGGACTGTCAGCTCAAGTTTAAAATGGTAAAATACAGCAAGAACGTCAACTACCCGAACAACAGGAGCACCGTTATTACCATTGAACTAATTCCTCCAACAACTTATTCAAGTAGTCTGACAACTGGTAAAGGACTGTTGTTCTTTATTCGTATACTATTACTTTGTTTATCTTCCCCTGCAGATCATGAAAAGTTTCTTGTTACATAACCAATAAGTGTTTATTTGTGACGTTTCGATGACTAGTACGGTATGAACTCTGTCACCTTCATCAGACAAATGACCAGTGAAGCATATGAACACAAAGGTGTAAAATGTGTACGAGTTGTCCACAAATTGAAACGTCGCATAGAAACACTTATTGGTTGTGTAACAAGACACTTTTCATAATCCATACTTACCAGCCTGAAGAAAATCCCCTGCTGAATTCAGATAGACACGTCAGACCGGTATATCCCACTGCACGACGTTATAAACCCCTGCACAATCGTGGTTATATCCTGCTGAGAGAACAATGGGAAAACTAGCATTGATTTGCTGTTCCTTTGTTCATACTTATAGGATATCTACGTTTTCTTTTCTTGACAGCATTGCTATTAAAATGTACTTCTGTATGATTCCTCTCGACATCCGTTGTCTAAAATAAGATGACAAATATGACGAAATACACTGTACCATTAACAAAAAAACAAAAAATAATGTTCTTTATACGACTTCCTCTTAAGTATGTGCAGACAAAAGCTTTCACTCATGTAAACACTATGTATGTATTCAGGGGCCATGTGGAAACTTTTTGTTGATTACATTTGTTATTAATTTTGAATGAATTCTTCTATGTAGAAAATTTGATCCACTTCTAAATCAATTACTGTATGAGTGGTCAAATGATTTCAACATTTGTCTAATTATCAGACCTTAACACTAAATGCTTACGTATGCCAATTAGGACATGTATGATATGCATACATAGAAGGTGAAATGCATTCACAAAAGAGCCGACAACAATATGCAAACGTTTAAAGTAAAATGTGGACGCCGTGAGCATTAGTTTAGTTTCTCCAACCTGTTTTAACTGAAGGGCAAACACGAAGCCGGTGATTCCTCAGTCATAAACTTTCCTTACCTTAATAGTAACATATCAGCTTGCTTTGTTTATTGAATTTCTATGTCATAACTGAATCGCTACATCATATCTTGCCTTAAGAGTAAGGATTTTCTCTAGATATATGTTCTATAAACCATTGAAATGAACATCAATTTCTTTATAAAACGACTTTGAATGTTATGGAATGTTTTCATCACGATCTGATTTCCAACAGAGGTTTCAGTATGTACAATCATCAAAGACTTATCTTATACCGACAGTATCTTAGATTGTTAGTGACATACATACTTTCCTGAATTCGATATAGACATCAAGACGAGAACTTCGCGAGTAGAATTAATCACTGGAATATTCCGGAAGATCTTGTTCACTTGCTCTTTTGTCTCTCGTAATGTCCTTTTAGTTCCTGTTGTTTTCATATCGACTTCGAGGTCTAATTTTGTCCTTGTGTATATATCACTATAATTATTATTGCGCTGTTTTACTTTCTTCTAACGATAATGTCCGAATGTCTGTTATTTGCAATCCTTTGGTGACGGTCACAAAATATGTGTTGGTTATAAAAAGTGTGATTGATTTTGCATTAGTAACTGGGACAAAATGCTAATAACAATTAACTTTCTTTTCTTCCGCCAGTATTTTACTACTCCCTAGCTCTCTTTGACATTAACAGTTTATCGCTAGGCTCTTTTTGACTTACTTTGATGGGTTGATAAGACCTGATGGTCTATCAATCGTAACTTAGATTCATCGGGTGAGGCCTCAGCAATTTACATCTAATGTGTTACATGTCCGGTTCATTCCCGTCCCTTAATTAAAGCACATGATTCTTACAGCAGAGCAAGTAGGAGCTCATAGTGACGGCCCCTTTTTCCGGGACACCCATACAGGTCGGGGATCGAGAAAAGAATACACCTGCTGTTACCCACTGCATGTATCGTAAGAGGCGACTAACATGGGAACCCTACTGCAGAATTGGGGATTTGCTTTGGTGCCCTTTATTTGGAGACACAAAAGTGACCAAAATAAATCTGCTGCATCAATTGCAATAGTTGAGATCTTTATATTTCTCTCTACCTCCAACTACCTTTTATTTCCTAACACCTTGCTTGGCAATACCTCACGTTTGGCTTTAATGCTGAACATTCGCCCAGGTGAAGAAAAGTCAATGGCAATGTTAGATTGTTCTGTCACTGAACAAGATGTTCATTTAAACGCTCAGAGACACATCGTAAAGTAAATGGAATTCAATATTTCAAATTGATGACTTTTAGTTGGTTTTTGCGTCTCAATAGGTTCACCCCAAGCTGGGAAAGAGTGTGAGGAGGTATAGGCCCGTGAGAGTAGATTAATGCGTACAAATCGATAATGTGCCAAAACTTCTCCAGGGTCATACAATTCACAATTTTGGTAGAGCATCTTAAAAACCTTCCATCTATGAAGAGTGTTTGATTCTACCATATCTGGGTCTTGAGAAGAAGATTTTTGAAATTTCAGTCAATTCACCCCTTTTTGGCCCCACCCATCAGCCCCTGGAGGTCAGTCAAGGCTGATATGTGCATACTATCAAACTGCTACCTAATACTGATAATGCTAACCTAAATTGAATTAATTCCAATGGAAATTAAACGAATGTTGGTCCAAAATGTGATTTCCCTATATAAACTATAGTAAAGTTTACCCCCTCCCCAGGGGGAAACGTGAGACCCCAGGGTCATGAAATTCACAATTTTGGTAAAGCACCTTAAGACCCTTCCATCTTCACACAAATCTGTTTCAGATTGAAACAATAACATTTTTTTCTAAAATATTCTTAATACCTTATAAATTACCCAGATCTAACTGCTGTCAATTCTCATTAGTCGACTCACAAACACGAATTATAAATATTTCAGTATGTTTTCGAAATTAGATAACTTACATTATAAACACATGAAAGGTGTATCTAACTCCAAGTAAACTAGAAACAAGGGGAAACAAGACCACAACATTGATATACCAGGACAAAATCTGAACCAAAACATTACAGCAACTAAGGAGAAATCTAAACAAACAACAGGCACAATGGGCCTTAACACTCATAATTTCAAATCGAAATATGTCTCAGGCCACAATGGATCTTGAATTGTCAGATCGATGCAAAAAAGAAGAAACAGTTCTTTGTGACCTCATGAAGAAGGTTTATACCAGGTTTAGAGTCGATCAGTGCAGCCATTCCCAAGAAGTGGGAAATTTCTCAGCCAATCGGATGCCAGGATGGCCATCTTGTTTTTTTTATCGGCAGTAAAATAAGAACACATGTTGCGAACCTCCTAAAGAACGTGTACCAAATTTGGAGTCAATCAGTGCATTCGTTCCCGAGAAGTCGGAAATGTCTCAGACAACAGGGGAACCATCTTTGATTTTTTGCTCGGTTCAAAACATAAAAGCACCCGTCAGGGACCTCACAAGGAATATGTGTACAAAGTTTGGAGGCAATTGAAATTGATTATATTTCAGCCAATCAGAGGCTGGATCCTGGATTTTTATATTGGCATGAAAAGTAAGAACATTTGTTCAAAAAGAAAAATTGTACCAAAGGAGTTGCAGCTGTTCTTTCAAAATTCAAAAATAGTTCAGCCGATGAGATGCAAGGGACGCCATCTTTGATTTTTGAATCAGTGTGAAAAGGTAGAACACTTGTTGGTGATCTCATGAGGAAGATTTGTACCAAGTTTGAAGTCAATTGCTTGTGCCAATTTTGAGAAATCAAAAATGTGTCAGCCAATCAGAGGTCATGGTGGCCATCTTGGATATTTCGGATTTGTACAAAAAAATAAGAATACTTGTTCTGGCTATCATAAGAAATATCTGTATTAAATTTAAAGTCAATCAGTTTAGTGGTTCTAAAGAAGTTGGAAATAAAACTTGTTGACGGCAAAACAAAAATCCACAAATTGAAGAAAATCATCTGGTTAGGAAGTGTAAGCACTCCTCGATAGCATGTAGCAACTGTCATTATTTCACTGAAATATCGGCTGTAAGCCAACATTGAGTGAAGACTCTAGAGAAAGCTTTTACATCAATATATATTTCTGTTTGTTCACAGCTAGTTCTAACACTTTGTTTTCTACCCTCTTCTGACAACCCCTTCAAGGCCAGTAGCATGAAGGTCCGATTCAAACTCCTGTGTTTGGTTAACTTTGTAACATTTGTTTTTCAGTGTTGTTGATGTACACTTTCAAACATTTGTTTGGTGGTTTTGATGTCCAAACCTTGTAAACATTGTTTTTGAATACTCCAAATATCAACAAATATCTTGCTGGTAATGTAAAACAATACACATGAAACAAAATAAATTGAAAAATATACATTTATTTTCCAAAACGACATGCACATTGCATACCACTGGAAAGCATGTAACATATATAATTTGTGCCATTAAATAAGTTATATTACTGGTGTGATCCCTGACAACAAGGGAGGATAACTCTCAATACATGGATACCTAGAGCCCTTCTGTTATACTAAATGAGACATGGTGATTATGAAAACCTGATCAATGTTATGAGTATGGAATATATGAGACATTACTGCTTTCAGTATTATCAACTTTCAACCCTGAATAATTGTATGGACAAACGACCTTCAAAAATTGGTATTCAGATGACACTTTCTACAGAGTTTTTATCACAAAATAACAAAATTTGAAGGAAATAAGTCTGGTGAAAAGAGATACACTGAGATGAAGTATATATAGAAGCATTGTTACTTTTTGTATACATGTAATCGACTAGTGATTTTATTGACATATTGAATGCATGGTAACTACAAATTGTAAATATTTTGAAACGATGGAGTAAGCACTATAGTTTGGCTAATAAATCAATCATCTTTGCAGTAACCTGCATTTGTCTACTAAAGAAGAACATGGTTTTAAAAACTTACAAAGAAAATCAGTCAATTTCTTAAACTGATATATATATATTCATTAAAATACTTTATTACTGAGCACAGCGTGGGAATATTTTATTGTGACATGTAAAATATATGGAGATATATATATTCAATGGCAGCATAAGTCCTAGTCTTGAGACAATCAAACGTTGCAACAATTGCAGAACAATCGACAGCAACAATAGGTTAACAAGCAATACTATATATGTACACAAACAATGTGGGAAGGTGATCCAGCAGACAGCATGTAAGGGAGGTAACTCCAACATTATCATTGTAATGTAACAAACTAAAATGTAAAGTTAACTAGACTCATTTGAACCCTCCCAATTCAAAGGTTGGAATAGTTCATTATGAAATTTCAGGGGAGAATGAGCTAATCCATACACTCCAATTTCCAAACGGTATATCAAAGATACATCAATGATCAGTAAAATGTCATGCCTGGATGATCTGATTCAGAATAATGAGGCTTCACACTTCATTTAACATAATGTTTGAAAAAGAGGAGTGTTTGTATTTGTGGTCAAACTTGTTGTTTAATTTTAGTAAACTTAAATGCTAGCTAATTTGACCTTCACATACAGAAGACCTTTGGCGATATAATGATTAATGCTGCATGGTAGAGAGAAAAAAACGGATCATACAGACCAGCATGGAATGTAATGAGGTCACAGATGTTAACAATGAAAATAAGTAAAACAGAAACAATTCTAATCTCGTTCCAAACTACAGAAACAACCTCCAGTTTATGAAAAATATGTTCCATATAATAGTCTCCAGATGAATTGACACACCCTGCAATGATATATGTGTCTTTGTTATAAACTGATGGAGATAGTCCTCTCCAGCAAAACTATACAAATTGTAAACAGTGAGATCTGTTGCATTGGAACTCAAACAATTTGAGACATGTTTTTGAACACATAAACTTTATTTTAACCTTGTCATCCAAATAGAGTACAGCTGTAGAGCCTGAAGAGTCCAGTCTCCCTTATGGATTACATCTGACCGAGTTAGGTTGAGTCATCCCAGTAAACTGTACAGCTGACCAGCCCAAGGTCATCCCTAAAATCGAAAACTGACCAGTCAGAAGTCAGCCCTACAGACTTACAACTGACCAGCCCAAGATTATCTCTAAAGACTAAAACTGACCAGACACAGACATCTCTACATTTTACAACTGATCAGCCCAAGGTCATCCCTAAGGACTACTACTGACCGGTCAGAGTCATCTCTATAGACTACAACTGACCAGCCCAGGGCAGGGTCATCCTAAAGACCTGGTAAGAGTTATCCTTCAGCTGACCAAACCAAACAGCCGGGATTCAACTCAATCGAAGATTCTGGGAAGACAGCAATTCTCTGGAGACAGTGACATTGTAAAACATGTGTAAATTTTATGCATTTATTGTGAATTTTTCCCTCCGAAGGAATTTTTTCTCTGTAGACTTAGTTATATTAAATAATGATCAAGTTTCTTAGGTACCTAAATGTCTTAGGTATACTCTATGTACACTGCTGGAATGGTGCAATAACTGTATACAAAATGTATTAATGCATCAAACATCAGATCTATAGGTACTTTTACCTGGCATTAGGACATAGCACCACGTCCTAGCACCAGGACTTGGCACCATGACTTAGTACCATGACTTGGCACTATGACTTAGTACCATGACTTAGCACCGTGACCTGACAATCAATGATCTAAAATCATAACTTAGTTCCACGAGTTAGCATCATGGCTTAACTGGTCCCATAACCCGACATGACTTGCAACTGTGACATGGCATCATGACGTGGCACCATGACATCGCCCCGTGACGTGGCATCATGACATGGTGTATGTGATGGCACCATAACGTGACAACATGACTTGGCAATAACAATGAGCAAAGCCACTGAGGAATAATAAAACAAAAGCTATACTGACATATATCATACACCATACATTTATGTCTTTGGCATCACAGTTGCTTATTGGAAGTTGTAGTGCTATATATTCCAACATACCCGATAGCGTTTATTTACACCCTGCAGCATCGGTACATTTAAACATACAACAATCAATAGTACATCTACAAAAAATCTCAAAATCTATTTACAAAAGCAAACTAAATCTTTCTATAATATACATACATATATCATTATGTAAACTTAAAACAATGCAAATCAAAATTCAATATAAAATAATTTCTACAAACTTTACAGTATTTCTCAATTGAAAAACTGATATTAGCAGATTGAAATATAATGAATCTACAAGATATATACTGGCAAATTTTCTTCGAAGATTTCACAAGCAATCCATTATCTTTGAGAATTGAATTGACAGCCAGAAAACTCACATGACATGCAGCTTTCTGGCCATTTAAAATATATGAATTATGCTAATATACATACATTTTTACATATAACATACATTATTTTATGTATCAGTACTGCTGGGGCAAATTAAGTAGAACAGAAACCAGGACAGACGCATCACCCATTCAGCAACTTTGTAGATATTTGATATGAAGCAGGATGGGCTGAATGAGCAGGGTACAGAACTGACACTCCAGGTGAAAGCAGTGTTTGGCCTAAATGGCAGAGAAAGCAATATATGAAAAAAATATGAAGATGACATGGTAGTGATTGACGTTTTGAAGACTTATTAAAGCTTTGTTTACATTAATGAACATGTAACAAACAAATAGCCATCAACCTTTACTTTCCAATGAACAATCACCATTTATATACTGTACATTAATTTAAATGAGGTTGATACACAGTGATCTCTGATCAAAATGTATTTAATGTCCATTAATTACCCCTAGTTCTCTCCCCTGGATAAAAACTTGACCACAGTGCGAGGCTCGCAAACTCACAGTGGATGGAGTGAGTACGTATAAAGGTGGTCTATCAATGTTTTGCAATGGTTCTTGGTAAAGATGTTTATTTCAGAAAGTATACCTTTTAAAATATCAGATTTTGTAAGCAATTTGTCAATTGGAAAATTAGTAACATTTCCCCGTTATAAATTGTTTACTTTGACCCCAGGACAAGAAATGGTTGAGATATGGGCTGAGCACATACTTGAGTTTCAATGTGAAAATGCTTAATTTGTAAATAGGGGGGTATACTCGCCTACCATACTCCCTGATAAAATCAACAACTCTGTTAACCTTTAGTTCATTCAACAGCTTCAAACAAAGCAGAACCAAGACTGAGACAATCAAAATTCACCCAGAATTTAGATTTAAAGAGTACCTTCTAAAGTACGGAACGAAATGAGTTACAGCAAATTTATTTACAAGTGAATCAACAGAGCTATCAACAGTTCAATATAAATCTTAAAAGCAAGCTCATAACAACATAACAGTAAGCTTATCAGGAATAATTTCACAACCATTATCAGAGATTGTCAACATTTCTTACCATAACAATGAACGGTGCAGAAATAATCATAAACACTCTTCCCTGTGAGGATCTGTTCTCTGTGTTGCCTTATCACATTTGGGTATTTTATAATCAATGTACGTGTCATGTTTACTCGCAGTATATACACAAATTAATTTTAAGTAATTTAAATACATGATATATCATTTAAGAACAAAACCCCTTAATGGACAGGGATAACAAAAGCAAAGACCCGTTTAGTGTAAACAGAGAAGGTAAACAATTAAGCTGTATTCCTTTTCTCTTCACCAATACAAAAATACATCCACAAATTCACACACTTTTTCTCTCCCAGACACATGCATGTAATCATAGCACATTATGGACAAAAACGAATCTCATGTACCCCTGAAAACACATTTGAACTCTTCCAATTCAAAGGTTGGAATAGTTCATTGTGAAATTTCAGGGGTGAATGAGTTAAACCACAAACATGTTGTCAATCAGCTTATAGTATTTAGTTAAGGAAATGGATTAGTTTTTAACACATGCTCAAACAGTTAGGCAGTAATTTTAATAATTCTGTTTTTATAAAATGCTTTGTTTTAATAATACCCCTTAAAAGTTCAATAACAGTGGCATGAAAGTTTATTAATTTTTGCTTTTATGAAGTTCTTGCAACAGTAGGCTAGTAAAGTTCTGGTACCTGACCATTTGAACTACCATGGTTAGCAACCATACAATCCTGTTACACGACCTTGGTTCATGTCACTACAATCACAGTCAAGCAGTCAAGGTCAAAAAGAGATTCACTCAAAAACTCTAAAACATTTGTATCACTGCATTTTCATCAAATCAATCTGTCATCGCAGTCATTTCATATCAGCTATTCTATCTACACATATTCAACATCAGGTGACTTCAATGATAATTCAGGACTGTTCAATGCTTATCCTGGTTGCCATATATGTCATGCAACAAATAAATTACGACTTGAACTATCCACCTCTCATCTTTCATCCTGTTGCCAAGAAAGCCCTAGAACCATGAAGCAGTCCAGGGGTTTCTATTCGATATCAATGGAAGTCTTGTATCACAACATCTTGTGTAGACTAGATCTGTGTGTTCCAATAGCAATCTTACTGGTCCTGTTAGTATCATTTTTCTGCTCTGCTGACATTTTCGTCGCAAAGAGGCTGTCGATCTTTACACTTGACGACGACTTAAGACTATTGTAAATTTTTACACCAGAGGGCGCCAGTGATTTGTTGTATTTACTTGTCGTCCGCCACGGCTTCAGTGGGGGAGGTGGCAGCACTGGACTCGCCCGAGTCTGAGAGCGATTTAATCTTCCAGATTCCCACAGTGTGGTCACTAAGGTGGAGGGAAAGAAATGAAAAATAAGCAAAGAAACAAAATATATAAGCATCACAAACAAATCACTATACAAAAAAAACAAAAAGTAAATATTTGCCAAAGAAAAACACTGTAATACTGAAAGCTGCAACAAAATAGAGAATAAAAAAAGTTTTGAGAATTTGTTTTTTGAACGTTCAGGGAAAAGAAAGCCAAGCAAAAAAGCATGTCCGAAATAAATGTAAACTGCATCAAACCTCATCACTGAGACAGGAAATCAGGAAGATATATGGTATATATAACCAATATAAACAATAAAATAGTATTAGCTACGTTTAATTACAATTAATTACAGATTTCAAATTCTTTATTTACTGATTTATAGCTGTGTGTTTGATACATATATCGTGTGCCATCATTATGGTTCAATGTTCGTCCAAAGACGAGTATTTGTTTACATGACAGTGGTGAATATTTCTCTTGTGCTGTGTCTACTACATCTTTTCTAGAACTCTACATTGTGGGTGATATCTATATACAAGTTACAAAGTACACGAACAGATTTCAGATTAATACCATAAAATACTGCAATTCATTATCCTTGAAATAAGTTTTTCATATATATTTTTTAAAAAATGTTCTTGGCATTAGCCACCAAGGTAGGTTAATTAGTAGTCTGATGCGAAATCTGATCCAGAGAAGTATGCTTTTTAACATTCATTAGAGAAATTAGGTAGAATAATATTAATCTGAAGAAGTCGAGCAAGATTGTTTACAATGTGTGTGCATAAAGCTTTCACAATGCTAAGTTTGGAAATAATCCAATCACAAAACTACCTGTATTATGTTGCAATGAATAATTATCTTTGAAGAATAATCCTAACAATTGGCTTCCATTTTGTATAAAGATTAATAAAAAAAAAAGAAAAAAAAAAGAGGGCCTGTATCGCTCATTTTGAAAATAAATCATCCATGAGAAATTATTTGTATTACAAACAAGGGCAGGTGAGCTAAAAATGTTCAATATCATTATTACTCTTGGTGCGAAAGTAACAAAAAGATTCTAAATAAACAATTGACTATCTAAACAACAAACAACCAACTCAATCTGTCAACATCAGAGTGTGGAAAGTGAAATTCAATACAACACCAATAACATACTCGAAATAAACTGTACTTGGCATGCATAACAAGCAAAGGGCAGACAACTCTGATGAGTCATGTGAAACATCAATCTAAGTTCTGGATAAAATCAAAAGTATGCCATCTAAATATATAACATGTAAGAAACAAAAAACAAGGACTGCAGCTCAAACAAAGGGGAGATAAGAGCAGTACAAAGGGGGGTAACTCCACGAGACCATGCCAGTGGAGGGGAGAATACTGAAGGTGTGAGAGATCATATATCAAATTCACATGTCTGAGTGCGACGGTACTGCCACATTTTGACCACAGGTTCACTGGAAGATAAAATGCATTACAATGTCATTTTGTACTGAGTGGAAGATTGGGCAGGGAGTCTATGGGTGGCTACATAGATAAGGACGTGTGGTGTCACCAAGGCCGTTTTCGTTTAAACGCTTGAACCAGTCGGACCATTAAATTTCGGTCGTTTATTAAATAAGGTTTGACCTAGTAGTCTGATACTGCTTTCAGGCGAGCCTTGACAAAGCCTTGCAAGGCCTGCATAAACATTTGCAGGTCCGCCAGGATTTATACCTGAAATTGTTACATTTAAAAATGGACAAACCGGTTGTTACGCATAAACGAACAGGCCCCAGGTGACTTCACAAGACAGAGCCGTGTATACGCATAATTTAAACTTCGCAAGCTTAAGATCTGTTATCATCCCTTATGAATCCTGATGTTCCCTAGATTGACAGAAAGCACTGTTTGGTGTGTTAGCAAAATTAATGCTGAAGTTAATATTCCTTTACGCTTCAATAACAGGTACTGTGTGTTAGTGATCTAGTTACCAATGACATCCTTGAAACTATCTGATCATATTCCACATCATTTATTTTCAATTTTGAATGCTAAACATAAAACTTAGTACTGATACTTGATTCACATTCTCTCTATGGTGAACAAACCCAGTCTAGCGTACCCCAAATTACTTACTTAGATGCAGTAAAAATCGAGTTTGAGTTGGTTGCTATAGAGTTGATGGGCATGAAGTGGGCTTTGATGTCGCCGAGGGCCTGACATGTGTCCACGTTCCACAGCTTAAGGAAGCCACTACGGCACCCGCTCAACAAGATGTCACTGCTGGGCATGAAGGCCAGGGCACAGACCCAGTCCTTGTGGGCCGAGTTCAGAGACTGAGGATACAAAGCCATATTTCAGCATGAACAGGGCTATAACAACTTTAAGGATATATATATGCCTCTTTGTGACATAAAAGTAAGGCATTCATTGCATTACAAATCTACAGGTTATGCAGAAAATTCTCCCTTTTGCCTAATTTTTCCTCAATTTTACAGTGAGATTTTCATATCTTTTCCACTCACTGTAAAAGTGAGGAGTACAAAATTTACAAATGTTTCTTTAAAAAAAAATATGTCTCCCATTCAGTTTTTTACAAGCATTAATATATACCTGATCAGACAAGGCATTTAGTTACGTTTATAGGATTTCCCAGATTTCCTTATTTTCATTTTCAATGAATTTATTGAAGAAAATTCACATTGGATGAATTGCAGAAAATATAACTTAAAAAGAACATTTAACAGGAAATGTGAAGTTTAAGATTATTTCAGTAAGTTAAAATTCACACAGATAAGTTTTCTGGTATCAGGGCTTATTTGAATTCATTTGCAGTAAGATCCCATTTTTTATCATAGTAATCAGTTTGAATATTGACAATAATGACCAGTTTGAATATTTTTTTAATTGTAGACTGTTTTTCAATCATAATGACCAGTTTGAGTATTTTTTTAAATATACTGACCAGTTCGATTTCTTTTCAATCATAATGACCAGTTTGAGTATTTTTTTAAATATACTGACCAGTTCGATTTCTTTTCAATCATAATGACCAGTTTGAATATTTTTTATCATTATACTGACCAGTTTGTGTTTGTTAGTGGTGAGGTCCCACTTTTTGATACACATGTCCCGCGACCCACTGAACAGGGTGCTGCCGTTGACGGCCAGGGACTGGATGCCGTCGTAGTGGGGCGGCTCGAGGTTATGTTTCGGTACCATGATACCAGCTCGCTCCTCCAGTACTTCAAATACCTACAACACAGCAGTATTACACTAGGACCTAATGTTGACATGCTACTGATATAAACTATAGGGCTGTCACAATATATCGGAAAACAGGTAACAGGCAATACACAGGTAAAAATTATCGTACCACAACACAGAGATGAAATATTGCTGTATCGCAATATTTTTCAAAAGCATATTTTTATGTATCTGCTCGGTGTTTTAACTTTACAAATTACTACAAATTCTTACAGATATGCCAATAAGCATCAACAGACTTTTAATAATTTATAATTTGTAACCGATGGTTGGTTTGACAAAAATCTTAAATCTATGTAATCCATATTATACATGATTAAGTTTGATGACATTCTGACAACAACTTATCATAACTTACTACTTTTTTTCAGATTCATTTTCATCTTTAGCATAATATGTACAAATATTTAGTTTCAATTTCCTAAGAGTGTGAAGTTTGGAATGGTCTATATAGTGCTAACTAACCCTCTATTAGAAGAATAACGAATCCAGTTTTATATTTAATGTTTACATTTTGCATTTTTTTATGGCTACAAATACATGTATTGCTTAACTAAAAACTCTGCCAACTATAAGTATTATGATAGATATATTGAAACTGAGTAAAAGTGGTAGATTACCTCATTCACCCCTGAAATTTCATAATGAACTATAATATTCCAACCTTTGAATTAGAAGAGTTCAAATATGTCTTCAGGGGTGAATGAGTTAATTAAGTAACATCCTTTGATCCAGCCAATGATCAGGATATGACTATAGTACATTATTATTTGACAAGATTTTTCAATAGAAATGATTGCCTACGCTGTTTGTGTGAACATGAGTTTGAGAGGCAGTACCTTGATGTAATGGTCCTTGGAGCCGGTGATGACCATATCATTGGTACCCTGTTTGTCTACTGCCAGTACCATCACTGCCGCCTGGTGGCCACCGTTTAACTTCCCAACGGCACTGAAGCTGTAAAGGGTGACAACTCGTACATGACTACTCTAAATATGGCACATCTAGAATGTTCTACTTAACCTACAGTCATTTCCCTTAGTCCATACATATAACCCAGTTCTGAACAAGGATTGAAATAACATTTACTGTTTCACAGTTTAAAATAGTTTTTCTAGTACTTTTCAACAAGAGTTCTTAGCCCTGATAATAGAATATCTACTCTTACAGATATATATTAAATTGCTGACATGTTCTTATCTAAAATTTTGCTTCCGTAATCTTTATCTATCATTTCCCATGTTTTATGTATAGGTATAGCAAAGAGACTTTTTGCACATTAGTGTATCAGGCCATCATCTCCTTAAGTTACTTAACAATTTAACAGGGTCTTGAAATCTATTGCTAGCTATCAGAGGATTGTACTCCGAGTTAGCCAGACAACACATCTTTGAAGGTCATGTACAGTGAGTTAGGACGACTATTACATTTTGAGGTCCCAAAGTGTAATACACACCTTTTGAGGTCCCACACTCTGACCACACTTCCTACAGAGCTGTACAGAGCCGTGCCGTCTTTGTTGAGTGCAATGTCTGTGATGTTGTGCTCACCAGGGGGCAGTTCAACCTGTCGCTGCGACGCAAAGTTGACGGGCCCATCATCTGTCAGACCAGAAGAACTGCAACAGAAGAAATATGTATGCCATTCAAAATATCATTTTGATAAAATCCTTCCATTTTATGATTAATACCAGTGAAATTGTGGTTTCCCCATTACTGCTTGTAAACTTTTTTAAAGAGTTACTGAGCCATCACTAAATTCTTCTTGTTATGTACACTTACACGTAGTGATACTTATCTGAGAGCTTAAGACGGAATGACTCACATGTTTATGTAGACAGGGACTAATAGAATCTTCCCCTACCTTGAGGGTGTAACAGAGAAATCTCCTACCCAAGGGGTGATTTTTTTGGTTGTCTAACCCGAGGCTCTGCCGAGGGTTAGACAACCAACAAATATCACCCGAGTGTTGATGATTTCTCTGTTACACCCTCAAGGTAGGGTATGATTTTTTTCTCCAATCCTATTATTTCAGTCACAACTCCACCAACAATAATCTTCCAAGTTTGTAAACAAAAACACAAGTGGGGTATGAATATCGTCATTCTCTTTTAATGACGTCACAATTACCGGTGACGCATTTCAATGACGTCACAATTGAACACGTGCTAATCGACACGAGGCTATCTCCCCATAGGAGGTGACAAGCTGATCTTTCCCGGCTAACACGCCAGTGAAGGGTGGAGAAATTGTGATATTTACCCGAGAGTTTTGACACACCGGGAGGGACTGGTACGAATGTCCCACACATTGATCGAGGACAGGGACAATGTGATACTTACCTGAGAGTTTTGACACACTGGGAGGGACTGGTATGAATGTCCCACACTTTGATAAAGGACTGGGACATTGTGATATTTACCTCAGAGTTTTGACACACTGGGCAGGACTGGTACGAATGTCCCACACATGATATAGGACTAGGACATTGTGATATTTACCTGAGAGTTTTGACACACTGGGAGGGACTTGTACGAATGTCCCACACATTGATATAGGACTGGGACATTGTGATATTTACCTCAGAGTTTTGACACACTGGGAGGGACTTGTACGAATGTCCCACACATTGATCGAGGACAGGGACATTGTGATATTTACCAGAGAGTTTTGACACACTGGGAAGGACTGGTACGAATGTCCCACACATTGATCGAGGACAGGGACATTGTGATATTTACCTGAGAGTTTTGACACACTGGGAGGGACTGGTACGAATGTCCCACACATTGATAAAGGACTGGGACATTGTGATACTTACCTGAGAGTTTTGACACACTGGGAGGGACTGGTACGAATGTCCCACACATTGATAAAG